CCGCTAGTATGGGAGTTTAGGGTTTAGGGTTTCGACTTTCACGCTAGCACAAGCAGGCAAGGCTCCGATTGGGTCAAACAGGACAAGAAGGACCACCAAGCAGAATGGGCAACAGTATACACCCAGCACCTCTACCAGAAGTAGGACCTGTTTAGTTAGGGTTTAGGGCCAGGATTTATGGTGTAGGGTTTAGGGTGGTGCAATGCCTCAAGCCTACACCCTGGATCAAGCGAGTTTCTCCGCATTTATGTCTAGAATCCAGAACTCGTCCCTCCTCTCAAGCCCAAACAGCGAAACCCGAAAGCAGCAAACCATGACAGACCTGGAAGCCCTTTAACCGTTTAGCGCTTCGGATTTTGACGCTCACGCTCGCTCAAGGCAGGTAAGGACTCAATGTCCATCGAAGAGTACCACACTGGGCAGTCATGCTATCACAGCCGCTACTGCAGGCTTTACTCGTTCACCAGCGCCTTTCCAGACCACAATCTCTGACAAACAAAAGGACTTATATTCTGAGATAGGATCCTGATAACCCAATTTAGGGTCATTATTATAACTCTACTTGGAACTCGGGGGGCCCTACCCCTCAACCCTAAATCCTTAAACCCTAAACAGCACCCTTAGGGGCCCTCCGTGTACCTCAGGGTGTAGGGTTTAGGGTTTAGGGTTTGCGATTTTAGGGTTTCGGGTTTAGGGTTTACAATGAAACTGAGGCCCTGGCTGTCGGCATCCTTAGTAGCGCAGCTCTCGTAATGAGAGCCCTTGTTCCACTGCAGCGACCTGGGCGTGGCAGCACACCGGGTGCCTGGCCCCATTTACAAGTTTAGGGTTTAGGGGTGCCAATGTCAGCTACGGGACTTATACCTTAACCTGAGTTATGATACATGAAACCCAGTTTAGGGCCCGTATGACTCTACGTATAACTAGGGGCTCCCACTTGTAGGGCTTCAGGCGATGTGTAGCTTGCCGGTGTCGGGGTTTAGGGTTCGGAGACTTTAGGGTTTTGTTTGTCACGGGTGCTCGGAGGTGTGGCACTTAGGGCTTTCGAGGCCTTGAGGGCTTTCGGCTGTGATCTTGCGACTAAGGGTTGAGAGAAGTTGAGAGGGTTCAGTGTACACCGTCTTGCGCTCAGACAAACCTCCAAACAAGGGTTTAGGGCTAGGGTTTTTAGGGTTTAGGGTGTAGGGTTTAGGGTTTCATTAGGGTTTAGGGTTTAGGGTTGGGATGATTATAGACTCCTCTCCTGGCACCGGCGCAGCCAGGGCGGTGTTGCGGGGGTTGGAATTCCACGATGCTCTGTCCAAAGGACCAGCTCAAGCGTCACGAGTGCCGACAAAATGGCGGGGGGGGGGGGGTGTTCCTTGGGTGCCGTGTATCGGTAGTTTGTAACTCTGCTACGAGCATACTTCAGGCTACTCCCAGTCATATGGCTGCTTCTCTAGATAACGGTCCCTGCTTTGGTGAGTATTCTCATCCGGTCGCATATTTAGGGTACCCCAAACAGGGACCATTATCGTGAGAACTGACCATATAGCTGTGGGGATGAAAGCCTGAAGCTTTCGACCACGCATCGTCAACGCCCAGGGCTTTGTAGGTTTAGACTAGACCCAGGAGTAACCTAGGAATAGACAGGGTGCACTTTTGGGTTTTAAGGGGATTGTAAGGGAACCCCAACCCTAAAAAAGTGAATAAGGGCCTACTCCGGGTCCTAGTAGCCCTAAACCCTAAACCCTAAACCCTAAACCCTAAACCCTAAACCCTAAACCCTAAACCCTAAACCCGAGAGCTGCCGGGGACCCCGGCAGGACGTTGATGTTCGGGTGGGGGAAGAAGTTGTTGCTGAAGGTGCGGGCGTCGATCTTGCAGCGCGCGCCCACCGGATTCCGACATGCAGGGTTTAGGGTTTAGGGTTTCGGGTTTAGCGTTTAGTGCCATGGCAAGACCTGGCCGGATCCTAGGGGAGATGAACTTCCTCAAAGGGCAGGGTTCAGGGTTTTTATAGGGTTAGGCAAGCAGGAGCCGAAAGCCGAGGTCTAGCTGCACAGCTAAACCCCTAGACCCTTAACCATCGAAGGCTGAAGAATGAACCCTAAACCCTGAACCCTAAACCCTCAACCCTAAACCCTAAACCCTGAACCCTGAACCCTAAACCCTAAACCCTAAACCCTAAACCAGTTACCCCTCCCCCACCCATTCCCCCACCAGAAAGGGCCCCTATGGCCCAAAGATTGGGTTTAGGGTTTAGGGTTTAGGGTTTAGGGTTTAGGGTTTAGGGTTTAGGGTTTAGGGTTTAGGGTTTAGGGTTTAGGGTTTAGGGTTTAGGGTTTAGGGTTTAGGGTTTAGGGTTTAGGGTTTAGGGTTCAACTTTCGGCTCCCAAAGGAAGGCGTGCAAGGCAATTGCTGGACTTCCGAATCTGCATGCTGCTCGACTTCTCGGCTGTGCCCGAGGAAGCGGCTTGAAGAGCTTATCGACAAAGAGGCCGAAAGAGTCGGACACCTTAACGAGCAGCTTCGGCCTCTCCGAGTGCTGCATCGGAGTGATTAACGCCGAGCTCGTCCGGGCATCGTGCCGAAGTCAAGAGTTACCACCACAGCGCACATCTGCAAGATTGAAAACTGCCAGACACAGGGGTTAGGGTTTAGGGTTAAGGGTTAAGGGCCCCTTTCTTAGGGAACTACCCACCCTGAACCCTAAACCCTAAACCCTACCCACATCAAGACCTGCCCCCCCTCCCCCCGATAAAGACGGTCCTCAACCTATCTCACCCTTGTCCTGAGACTCTGAAGCCCTAAACCCTAAACCCTAAACCCTAACAAGCAAAGCCCAAATATGCCCGCACCTGCTTGCCGCCACCATGGAGATCGTTCTCCGAGTAGACCTCGCACTTGGGATGTTCCCACTGCTACTAAACCCTTAAAGGGTTTAGGGTTTAGGGTTTGGGGTTTAGGGTTTACAGCTCCTTAATCGGGATTATAGTACCGCATATTAGAATCCCTATAGAGGACTGTTAGTATAAGGTGGAACATCCTTTGGCTTAGGGTTGAGGATTCATGGGTTTTAGTACACCCTATTAGAATCCCTATAAAGGACTGTTAGTATAAGGGTGAACATCCCAAGTTTAGGGTTGAGGATTTAGGGGGTTTAGTACCCCCTATTAGAATCCCTATTAAGGACTGTTAGTATAAGGGGCAACATCCCAACCTCGCACCATCGTCTTAGGAGAGCGTTGTGACTGTGCTTGTTGCGGGAGCAAGGGAGTAGAGCTGCGGATGGCGCTACCTGTAGAAACTCCGAGTATAAGGGCCCTAAGTTGGGTTATAAGTATTACTCTGTAGGTTAGAACTCCCTTAACGAAGGTTAGTATAGTAAGGGGGCCCCTACTTGTACCAGTCCTTCGCATGAGAAAAAAACTGGTGGCATGATAGGTTTTTCAGCAAGCTGGCTCGAAGTCGGAACCCAGAAGCTGCCCTAATTCCCAAACCATCAACACCCTTTCAAGACTGCGCAAGTCGGCTTGAAAGCAACAGCAATGTGCTAACGGAACCGCAACAAGAGATGTCTTAATCACGGTAATGAACTGCAAGAGACGGAGATCGATTCAAAAAACACATTCCTGAGTCGTGAAGTTCCGAAGAACCGCAACACTAAGTCCAGTAAGCACCGACCACAGCGCAAACAACAAATCTAGCTAAATACAAACTTAAGCAAACCACAACTTGGTAGCCCAGCAACCATACTAATGCGCCCTATATGGCCCGTTCTAACTTTTAGTGGTCCCTTTGGAATTACTCTAAATAAGAGCCGCCTCATAATAGGGAAACCAAGAGGGACTGTAATTTAAGAGCTTTTTTCATGGCCCCACGTATTTATTACTGCTGATTTCATGCAGTACCCCTTGTAAGAACCCTTCAGAGCCCTCCAGATGCTGATTATTCGAGATGAAGTAGCCCTTAGTCCATTGAAGCAGCCATTGGCGGACTTTGCGTCCTGAGACACATGTGGCTCTGAACGGTCTGGGGTTCAGGGTTGAGAGTTTAGGGTTTAGGGGCCTGTTTTATCCATTATTGTTTTGTTCTTCTCTCTTTTTGGGAGTGTGAACCGTAGCTTACTTCCTTGCTATCTTTAGCCTCACGCTGAAATGCCGGCATCCTAGAAATTTTGGGCATACCCTAACCCTAAACCCTAATCCCTAAGGTTCAAGTGTCGGTTGAGGTTCGGGAAGTGTGGGGATCAAAGCTAAAGATAGGGAAGAATGGCTTCAGATTCGCAGCTCCGGGCATAGAAGCCAAGATCCCCTCAAAGTACCCTGACGATAATTAAATTGCCCCCTTTGTTTAGGGTTCAGGGTTCAGGGTTCAGGGTTCAGGGTTCAGGGTTCAGGGTTTAGGGTTTAGGGTTTAAGGTTTAAGGTTTAGGGTTTAGGGTTCGACCCGGGTGCAACAATAGATTTCAGGACTCGCTGCGACCGTAGTTGACAAGTGCTTCGGATGAAAGGGGGTAATTAAACTTTTCCAGCCACCCCACCCTACCAGAAAACATACTCAGCCGGATTGTTCGCTGTTGCTTGTATATAGGGTTTTGTGAACCCACGGCCACATCATGTCAAAAAACAAAAACGCAAGATTCTTGGTTTCCGGGGGTTTGAACACCAAAAGTACAAGCCCCTTTGTTATTCTAACTTTAGTTCAGGGACTTAATATAACGAAGTTATGATACTTGTAATTAACCCAGCTCAGGGCCCTTATAACTCTACTTACAACAGCTAGGGGCCCCCTACTTGTAAAGCTCTCTGAGCGCAGCCGGAACACTAGCTGCGTACCCATTCATGTGCAAACCTCCCCCTCAACTACTATTTGTTTAAAGGGCCCCCCCCCCCCCCCCCGCCAAAAAAAAAAAAAAAAAACATCTTCCTTACTATAAGGGTTATATAGGGATTATTATCTTGACGATTTGGGGTGTTCTGAAGCAGATAGTGGACCAACCATTATGACACAAGGATTTAGCACATTGAGCGCCGCATTGCCTGCAAAGGGGGATCTGCCACGGCAGGCGTGCCGTAGGTGTACCTGGCTGTGAGAGCCTTGGTTTAGAGTTTAGGGTTTAGGGTTTAGGGTTTAGGGTTTAGGGATGCGACCTCTTGGGGAAGCTGTTTCGAACCCGGGCGGCTCCAATTCCTGGGAGTCTGAGATGTCCCCGGAGATTCCTGAAGTCGGCGCACAGGGCATGGATCGTTCCCAAGCCGCCCGCCGGACCGGCGCCCAATGCCTTGACACGACACAGGGTTTAGGGTTTAGGGTTTAGGGTTTTAGGGTGTAAGGTTCAGAGTTTGGGGTTTAGGGTGGCACAGCTTTATGGCAGAACCGAGCGAAGCACACTCAACTCCAACCCTCCACCATCTACATCTGATGCTTGGTAGCCCAGTAACCATATACATATATATATATATATATATGAGAATAATAATAATAGTAATAATAAGTGCACCCCCCCCCCCCCCCCCCTCTTTTTCGGTTGGTTGCTTGATGAGGGAACCTTGAACCCCCAAAAAAGGGAGAAGGGTACCACTGGGCTGTCAAGGATGCCGCACCAAGCAAGGCCAATTTGGTAAGATTCTAGGGTTCTTCAGGGAGGGGGGTTAAAGGGGGGGTGGTACCTACCCCTCATGACCCTCCGCCCCCTATAACCAGATGTCTTCTTGCAACGAATGGATGCCAATGAGAGTACATCGTGAAAGTATAAGTTGCCGTGCCGGCAAGAGCCCTGGACGCCTGAAAAAAGACCTTACTGTAACCGTTTACCGTAGACGCCAGACTTGTACAAACGCTTTGAAAGTTCATGGGTAGCACAAAAAAAAGGGGGTAAATTCGACCGCCGGCCACAAAACAAGAGTTTGCAACCAGTTGTAGCTGCAGTTGCCCCGAAGTCCTAGAAGCCTCAAACACCGAACCCCAAGCTGAAACCCCAAACCCCACAAGTAGGGGCCCCCCTAGCTATGAGTAGAGTTATAGGGGCCTAAACTGGGTTATAAGCATCTCCCTTAACTAAAGTTCGTACAAGAAAGGGGCTAAACCCTAAACCCTAAACCCTAAACCCTAAACCCTACACCCTAAACCCTAAACCCTAAACCCTAAACCCTAAACTCTCTCAACTCCCCTCTTCGCCACGCCCGGGCGCCGCTTCCTCCTCGGCGCTGCCGATCTCTGGCATCAGCTCTGGGGTTCCTCTGCGCGGTTTAGGGTTTATAGGGTTTAGGGTCTAGGGTTTAGGGTTTAGGGTTTAGGGTTTAGGGTTTAGGGTTTAGGGTTTAGGGTTTAGGGTTTAGGGTTTGGGGTTTGGGGTTTGGGGTTTGGGGTTTGGGGTTTAGGGCTCAGGGTTTTTAAAAGGGTTTCTATAGGGTTTTATGAAGGATGTATATGGGTGTGTATAGATGCGTATAGACGAGTATAGGGCCAGCAGGGTTGATAGAGCTTATGGGTGTATGGGGTGTTTAGGGTTTATGCCGGGCCGCCTCTGGGTCTGCAGGGGAAGGTTGGGGATGGGCATTGTAGTCTCTACGACCCAGGAGTAGCCTAGGAACAAGAAGGGTGCCCTTTTGGGCTTTTTCAGGGGAGTAAGCGGGAACACCAACCGTAAAAAAGTGAATAAGGGCCTACTCCGGGTCCTAGGAACAAAAGTTAAGGGACTGGGACTTATAACCTAAGTTAGGATCCTTACAACCCAATCGAAGGCCCTTATAGCTCTACTTCTGACAAGACCTCCATGAGCCGGTCTGATCGATCAGCCGTTTACTTGGGGGCTGAAAGCAGGCTGTAAACCCACCTAAACCCTAAACCCTAAACGGCCCTAAACCCTAAACCAACCGTAAACCCTAAACCCTAAACCCAAAACCCTCCCCCTCCACTATCTTCCCCCGCCCCCCCGCTGTCCTTGATACCACACGAGCTTCTGGTAGTCCTTGGGCATACGCTCTATGACAGGGCTTGGGGTTAACTAGCCTACTTCAATTTAATTCATAACCATGAAGCGACTTAGGGCCTAGAGTAGGAGAAGCCGTCTAGACATCATGAGTAGAATGGGCCGTTCTCAGCCGTTCTCTAAGTTATGGCCCCTTTCTCGACACGGCTGGGAATTGAAATGGCAGCTCGCAATTTGCCGCAGTCGAGAACAAACCCCCGAACCCTAAGCCCGAAACCCTAAACCCTAAACCCTAAACCCTAAACCCTAAACCCTAATAACCCTCCCCATGTTGAACTCCCGATGTCCCGTCCTGATGTTTAGGTCTTAATCGGTTCGGGCTTCTCACCGACACCTCTGGCCCCATCTCTGATACCATGTAAGTCACCTGTTGAAGTTGCGACTTACACATGGGTCGATCTCTCAATGTTTTTGTCGGCCGTTTTTGTCACAGGAACCCCTAACAGAAACCAGGACTCATTGCTGGACAGCGGCCGGGTCGGAAGTGTGCCCGCTGTTGATGCAACCGGAGAACACGTCACCTTTTACGGTGGCTCGGGGGCGCAGCAAGTACGAAAAGTAAAGGGGTTACCCATGTAAATAGCCCCCAAACCCAAAACCCCAAACCATTTTTACTTAGGGCTGCCTCAGGATACCAGGCTCTGGATGCCTGGGATACTCGTGCTGTGACACAAGAAGTTTCCTGCCCCAAACAGCTTCGCTGAATCCTTCGCCTGCACGCCTTCGCCTGTCCAAAATTCCAAACCGGCCCCTGATCCTGCTGGCCACCATGAGCCTTCAATCCATCTGAAATCAAGATACTGGGGGCGTTTATGCCACCCGTCTAGCACAGCACCACAAGGCTACTTCGCAGATGAAGAATGTTGCAATTGGAAGCAGTAGATCTCCGCCCGATTCAACTGGCCCAAGTTCAAAGGTTAGAAGATGCACACGTCTGCAGGTCTTTACCCAAACGCCCAGTCCAGCTTCAACCCAGGTCTTTCAGGGTTTAGGGTTCGGTTAGCCTAACAAAGACTCCATATCCACACTCAATCAGAGTGGGCCCGCCAGGGCGACGGTAGAGCGAGCGCTGCCGAGCAAGATCTCCCATCACCACAACAAAACAGGCTCAAAACCCCAACCAGAACAAGCACGCCATTATACAAAAAAACAACCACATGCTTGAGTCGTTTCCCTCATGCAATCGTCTGTTGCGCCCAAACAGAAGTTGCGGCTTCGGGTCAAAGCTACATTCTTCTACGAAAAATCATCTAAATGCTTAAGCCCTCAACCCACGTCCCAGACCCTCAAACTTGCTGCGGACCAGCTGCACATGGCCCCTCCCAAAGAATGGCCCACGCAAATGACGCCTCAGGCTGTAGCAGCTAGGAGGGAAGCCCATCAATCAGATGGGTCCTAAACCCAAAAACCCGAAACCAAAAACCCTAGGCCCCAAAGACTCAACATCCGCTCAGTACATCTTGGGCGCGATTGCACTTGGCCAGCTTGTCCGTAATCTTTTTCCAGATTGAATGGTCGGAGAGCTGCCAAATCCTTGGCAGCTCAGCAGCCACGTTCCAACAAGGATTGCGATAGGCGTGTTTAGGGTTTAGGGTTTAGGGTTTAGGATCTAGGGCGAGGGTTTAGGGTTTAGGTTTACCCTGGTGGCTGGTTACTCTGTAAGGGAGCCTGCAAACAAAAACATGGGAAAAAGGGCACCAATAGGCCACCAAGAATCTCATCGCGGTAGCCAGCATGGACCTGCGTCATGGGTGTCGCTGAACCCTTACAAGCAAGGCCCCTTTCTGATACGAACTTTAGTTGTTTAGGGTTAGGGTTTAGGGTTTAGGGACTTAGAGCCTAAGTGATGAGACTTAGAACCCTGAATAGGGCCCTTATATCTCTACTCAAAACTAGGGGGACCCCTACTTGAACTTTCAGAAGAAGCCAAATCCATAAACTATAAACCCCTTTGTAAAATTTTTGCCACTTCGCCCAGAGTACCACACCCGAAACCCTAAACACCTTGCATGACGCCCCAAGACCCCAAACCCTCATGAGCCCTAAAAACCCAGAACGTTTCTCAAAAGGTCGTGGCGTGAAGTTGTAGGCGTATATCTAGGAATTCAGGGATTGCTGGCATAGGCAGGACCTGGGACTCTTTTCACCTACAGTTGAATAGGAATTACCCTGAATTAGCCGGTATCAGAAAACTGTAGGTAAGCCCTAAACCCTAAACCCTAAACCCTAAACCCTAAACCCTAAACCCTAAACCCTATCCCAGGAAAAGATAACAAAAGGCACGCAGGCCAAGACCCGCAAAGTCCTTTCAACCTCCAACTTGGGTTTGATGATCTACAAGTAGGGGCCCCCTAGTTATAAATAGGGTTCTTAGGGCCCTAAATTGGGTTATAAGTATTGCTATGTAGGTTCTAACTGCCTTAATGTAGTAAGGGGGCCCCTCCTTGTAGAGTTTGGGGGTTGGTAAGCCTCCAGCCTGTGAAGCCGTTGAACCCCTTCGAGTTCTGTGTTTAGGGTTTAGGGTTTAGGGTTTACTCTCTTATTTTGTTGCCTGAAGCTCGAGCCAAGCAAACTGCCAGTGGGCCTTGTCGAAGCCGCAATAGCCGGTAAGGTGTTGCCTGGGTGATTCTTCCGGGGGGGGGGGAGTTTGGGGCTTCCAAGTAAGGGCCGCTTGTTATTCTAACTTTAGTTCAGGGACTTATAACCTAAGCTATGATACTAAAAACCCAGTTTAGGGCCCTTATAGGGGGTTGTTGAGGTTTAAACTTTTTTTGGGCTTTGGGGGGGAGAGAGGTGGCTGTACAGACAGCAAGGGGGGCCGCCTTCAGTTTGCGGGGGGAGCCGCTTTTTGTTTACTGGTGATGTTGACATCACATTCTATAAGCATGTCCAAGAGCATTTTGAATTCGTATAAGGCGCGCGTACATCCCTAAACCCTAAACCCTATTTCCCTAAACCCTAAGCCCTAAACCCTAAATCCCTAAACCCTAAATCCCTTAACTCATATCGCCGGTTCCGGGTGTGATTTGAACAGGATTCTGAAGGGCCAGCTGCCCTCAGGGCCTAAGCTTGGGATGCTCCCCCTTTTACTAAAACGGTCCTGCACACGGTTTAGGGTTTAGGGTTTAGGGTTTAGGGTTTAGGGTTTAGGGTTTAGGGTGATTATTGTAATCCCCAAGGACTGTTAGTATAGGGGGGAACATCCCAGCCCCACCAGGCGGTCTAAGGCTCTGAGGCTCTAAACCCTAAACCCTAAACCCTAAACCCTAAACCCTAAACCCTAAACCCTAAACCCTAAACCCTAAACCCTAAACCCTAAACCCTAAACCCTAAACCCTAAACTCTGACTGAACCCTGAACCCTAAACCCTGAACCCTAAGCCCCAACTCACCTTAGGAGCCCACTTCACAGAAGAGCCTAACTCACCGAAGGTGTTGGTGCCCGTGAAGACGAGGGCGCAATCCAAGTTCTGACCTGGGTTTCTGGGCCTGGGAAGTTCTGTTAGGGTTTAGGGTTTCTAGGGGTTATAGGGTTTATAGGGTTTACAGGGTTTATAGGGTTTTAGGGGGCTCAGGGTTTTAGAATGTAGGGGTTTAGGTTCAGGGCTTCGGGTGTAAGGCTCTATATTCTCTAAATGTCATGCTGCGGGCTAGGATTCAGGTTGATAGGTTTGACTGCACATGTGCTGAAATCTTGTTCATGACCGTACAGGGAGTGACGTGTATACATCTGTGTATACATATATGTGTGTATATGTGAAAATATAAATGTAAATATGAACATAGACATAAATATATAAATATCAATATAAGTATAAATATAAAAATGTAAACATCAATATAAATAGAACTATGAATAAAAATAAAAATATAAATATGAATAAATAGGAAAAATATGAATAAATATACATATATATATATATATATATATTATGTATGTACATGTATATGTGTATGTATATACCTATATCGGGAATACGGCCTTCATGACTCGAAGCAGATCGCCAGCTTGGTAAACAAAGCCCACGCGGCTGTTCTGGGCGAGGAGGATGGGGTCATCGTCGTAAGCTCCACTCGTCCACCTGAAAAGCCAAGGGATCCCCAGGGTTTGCGGTTTTTTTGCCACCCGTCTAGCCAGGTTTAGGGTTTAGGGTTTAGGGTTTAGGGTTTAGGGTTTAGGGCTTAGGGTTGAGGGCCCAGCCCTGAAGGTGCGTGAGATCACAGAAGTTTAGGGCCAAGGGCTCAAGCATCCTCCAGAGTTGTTACACTCCTGTGCTGGGGGGTAACCACAAAGAACCACAAATTGAGAGAACTGATCACGTAGGGCCCAAAAGGGGGGTTTGCATCCATCGCAGGAGAACCCTCAGCCCTAAAGCACATCATAGGGATCTTACAAGTAAGGGCCCCTTTCTTACACTAACTTTAGTCTTCTAACCCATCTTAGGGACCCAAAAAAACTCTACTCATAGCTAAGGGGCCCCTGCTTGTAATTCTGCTTTTGAACCCTAAAACCCAAAAACCCAAAAACCCAAAAACCCAAAAACCCAAAAACCCTAAAACCCTAAACCCTAAACCCTAAACCCTAAAACCCTAAAACCCTAAACCCTAAACCCTAAACCCTAAACCCTAAACCCTGGGCTCTCAGATGTTCTGCAAACAGGCTGCTCGAAGACGTGGCGATCGATCAGGCGCCAGTCTGGCAGCTTCTCTGCCATCTCCTGTCAGTCTGGGGACTTACAGTACTATTTGCTTAAGAACCCCCCCCAAAAAAAACAAAACAAAAACAAAAAAAAAACAAATACATACATATATATATATATATATATGTATATATATATACACCACAACAACAATCCCTATGTTGCCCTTATAAGGAAGAACATATACTTTTCGGAGGGGTCTTCAGTAAATAGTAGTCCAGCGTTGTTAAGGGCTTACAGGGTTCATTGGGCTTGCAGCCTGGCTTATGGGGGGTCTTTAGGGCCTTTAGGGTTTCTATGGAGTCCAGAAGACTTCAGAAAACTTGTAGGTTATATGGGGTTTCCGTAGGGTTCAGGGTTTCGGCTCTCACACTCGCGCAAATCAAAAAGGGTTCTGGGTGATGCTTACGGGGTTGGCGTAGATACATGGGCAAAGAATAGTGCTTCTACGGTTTACAGGTCTCTCAAGTCTGTCTTATAGGTTCTACAAGGCTTCATATGGCTTACCTATATAAATAGAGGTTTTGTCGGGGTCTACTAAGAGTCACCTTGGCTACACTTTAAAAGGGCAATGTGCGTGCATCATTGGGAAATATACGCAGGTTTAAGGTACGAGGCTACAGTACTGTGTGTAGGGTTTCGGGTTTAGGGTTTAACTTTCGGATGCATGGTGTGACTGGTACACGTCTCTCCAAAAAGCCTTTTCTTTCGAGTCTCGCCTTCAGTTAAGACTTGCAGACTCTGCTATCTGCTTTTGAACCCCACAAAAAGAATAAGAAAAAAAAACGCGAATCCCTATATTACCCTTGTAAGGATATTTTTTGGGGGGTTCTTAAGAAATTGGTAGGACTGTTGCGGGCTTCCCCCTCTGCACTCGCAAGTGCATGCTTTGCGGCGGCCCCTTCGCAAGTAGGACTCCAGGGGTGGGCAATGTCAGCGGACGATCCCTGAGTCTCGAATGCTACCTTGAGTTACTAACAACCTGATCCTGTGAAACATATGGGGGTTTTCGAAATTAAGGGGTACCTTATTGGGGTCCTTACAGTTTAAGGGAATCCGTGTATTTGAGGTGACTTACTAGACCCAAAGGTAACGTAGGAATAGCAGGGTGCCTTTTTTGGTTTTCAGCAGTGTATATGGGAACCTAAACCCTAAAAGGGGAATAAGGGCCTACACTGGGTCCTCGTAGCCCTAAACCCTAAACCCTAAACCATAAACCCCCAACAAAGGGTATAGTCGGGGGACTATATTAGGGGTCCCTTAATTTTCGTAAACCCCCCAAATTGAGTTGCAGGGCCTGGGAACCAACTTCCGGATCAGCATCCATTTTGAGGTGTAGGGTTTCCGGTTTAGGGCTTTATCGCTCACACTCGGACACGCCAGGCGAGGCACACTCTGTCCCTTGGTCTGGCTGTAGAGTCCGTCTGGGCATGCCGGGCCCGTCTGGGCACTGGTGATAGGGTCCAGGGTTTTTGGGTTTAGGGTTCTAGGAGGTACGGTCCATCTGTTGCCCCCCCTGGAGCAGCTGACTTGTGAGCTTCTCAGGCATGGGAGTCTCCTCTCCATGGGCTAGAGGACTGCGAGCTTCGTGGTTTAGGGTCTAGGGATGGGATGTTCCCCCTCATACTAGTCACTAGCTAGTCCTTATAGGGGGTACTATAATCCCTACTAAGGACCTAGTCCTTACGGGGGGTACTATAATCCCCTTTAAGGACTGTTCGTATGAGGGGGAACATCACAAGTTTAGGGTTTAACAAGGGCTCTCGGGATTCTGCATATGGAGGCTTACGAAAATATGGGGCCCCCGGATATTGATATACATAATCCCCCCGAATAGTAGGATTCCCTGATAATGAGGACCTAATAAGGTACCCCGAGTTTAAGGTGAAAGCTCTTGCTTCGGGCCTAGGTGAAAGCTCTTGGGCTTCGGGCCGGCAGTGCTTCAGGCGCAGGGTTGGAATTAAACACCGCTTGGGAGCAAAGCGCAACTTGAGCTCCTGTAGGAGAGGACGACGACCCTGCTTTGAGAAATCCCGTTCCAAAGGTGCTGCATCCCATGGCTACTTGCAAAGATGCGCGTGCGGCCGGAGCGACGTGCGCGAGTCTCCGGGGGGTTAGCATCGACATAAGGCCGACGATTACTGCGACTACCATAACCCCTAAACCCAGCCTTGGGAGTTTTTGTAAACCCTACTTTTTGCTTAAGAACCCCACAACCTGACAATAAACGCGATGGATGGGGGGGTGGTTGGGTAGTTCTCTGAATTAGGGTCCCTTTCGGTGTCCTTGATTGAAGGGTGCCGTACTGTGCCGGAGACCCGAAAGAAACCCTAACTTAGAGATGCCGCGTGGAACATGTGTAGTACCTGAAGTCTGCAGACACGACACCCAAGTGATACGAGCCTTGGCATTGAATAGCTCGTTACTCTGACAATCGGATCCGAGTGTGCGTTGTCAAGCCCTGTTTGAGAACAAGTTCGGAGAACTGAAAGGCCACGTTTGGGTGTCCGGACTGGTAAGCGAAAGCCCCTGAAGCTGTAAAACACCATACCCCAGAGCATCGATGCCGGCATCGTCACGCGGCCGCGCACGCGAAGCTGATGTAGAACGAGGGAATCGACAAAACTGGCTGCGGTGATCGCAAAATCCAACGCATGTGTGTTCAAATCTGGCTGTGCTCCTTCGCCATTGCATGGACTCGGGTCAGTCGGAGGGGTTTAGGGTTTATATAGGGTTGAGGGTTGAGGGTTGAGGGTGAAAGGCAATTGGCTGTGAAACGGAGCTGACAGCCACGCACGGCCGGCTCGATGTTAAAATGATCGCAGGCCATTGCGCAAAGTAAGGCAGCTGGTTTTGCAACGAGTTGGAGCTGCACCAGGTCAGTGTCGCCAGATGCTGAACAAGCACCCAACAGTCAAATTCGGAAACCGCGGATGCCTTTCCTGAACCTTTTTCCAAGCTCAAAGTAAGCCTCTCCACCCCAGGAAGTCCGATGGCTCTAAGCAAAAGACCTTGCACAGTTTTTGGTGATTCCTTGTGGTGAGTGATTTTAGATGCTTCCTTCAATTTGAGGGATGACGTTGGGCTTTTCTGGGGACAACACTTCAACCACTTCGGCAGTCTCCCGTGCTTTTTATAAAAGATAGGCGCTAAAAGCGCCTTTCAAAACAGCGCCTTTTTCGAGCCTTGTGGTGTTGCTTAAGGGCTTACAAGTACAGGCCCGTGTACTCAGGGCCATAGTACAGAGATTTAAATGAGTCATTTTGTCTCAGGTCAAGGAAGGGTCTAGGGTTTGAGGCTCTGAGCGCAGGTCAACCACCCACATGCCCGACATGCGCTGTCGCGTCGCATATACCTCGCGGAAGCGGTGCCTCTACCACACCAAAACGGGCTTTACACCCTCTCCCTTGTTTGGGGTTGCCAAAAGCATCCCCCTCATAGCTCCCTAAACCCTAAACCCTAAGCCCTAAACCCTAAACCCTAAACCCTAAACCCTATACCGGCTTACTTCGGGAGGGGTGTGCACCTTTTGGAAGAGTGGGAGACGGCACCTAAACCAAGAGCCCTTTCAACCCGAGCCTGAGCTCCAAAAGACCGCCCTAAACCCTAAACCCTAAGCCCTAAACCCTAAACCCTAAACCCTAGACCCTAGACCCTAGACCCTAGACCCTAGACCCTAAACCCTAAACCCTAAACCCTAAACCCTAACCCCTACCTTAAAGAAACCCCTAAACCCTAAACTCCCGAAATCGACTCCAGAGCTCAGGTCGCCAGGGTCTTTGCCTTTGGGGCATCCGCCTGGAAGGCGTGGATTCCAGCATTTGGGGGAGGCGCCCCCTCACTTAGGGTTTAGGGTTTAGGGTTTAGGGTTTAGGGTTGAAGGTTTAGGGTTTAGGGTTTAGGGTTTAGGGTTTAGGGTTTAGGGTGTAGTGTTCTGAGCTTAGGGCTGACAAAAACGTGGGATCTCCGAAATTTAAGGGTACCTTATTTGAGGTCCTTACTATACAATGAATCCTACTACTTTGGGTTTAGGGTCTAGGGTCTAGGGTCTAGGGTCTAGGGTCTAGGGTCTAGGGTTTAGGGTTTAGGGTTTAGGGTTTAGGGTTTTCGGGGGTCTATATTCAGGGTCCCTTATTTTCGTAAACCCCCCACATTCGGGTTTAGGGTTTTCGGGCCCGAGGTCTATTTCTTGCCACCCGCCTCGCTAACTGCAGAGATGCACTGCAGGGCCTTTTTGAGGGTTCAGTGTTTAACTTACCCTGAGGCACCAAGGACTCCCATTTTAGTGGTTTTTGACCCAAAGGGCTTCTTACATAAGGTTGTTGGGCTATTGTGAGCGGAAAAGTTAGAGAACTGTTCATAGGGTTTTGGGGTCCACTGTCTATAGAGATATGGCCCCTTTTTGGGGATACCCTGATATCACCAAAACGGACCCTGATGTTCAGAATCCCTCAACCCTAAACCCTAAACCATAAACCCCAAACCCTAACTAGGCTGCCCAGTAACCTAGGCTTAATCAGGGTGCCCTTTTTTGCTTAAAGGGGTTTATAAGGGAACCTAAACCCCCCAAAAAGGGAATAAGGGTACAACTGGGCATCCTGGCTAAAAGGGTTTGATTCACAGCCCCCGCCTGGAGAGCTCTTAATCCAGGAGGTGCTCCGCTCGTGCCAGTTGAACAAGCTCGTGCAGGAAGTGGCAGTTCGTGAGCACCAGGCCTGTACCCAGGGTTTGGGGTTTAGATCCTAGGTATTCAGGGTTTAGGGCTTAGAGCCTAGGGTGTAGGGTTGAGGGTTTAGGCTTAGGGTTTGGAGGGTTTTTGCCGTTGCCAAAAGTACCGGAACAACTTGACACAATTCTGGCTTTGAGTGGCCCTGGACCCTAAACCCTAAAAACACTGTAGACCCTATAAACCCCATAAATCCTATAAACCCTTTGTAAACCCTGATTAAGGTCTCAGGGGTTCGAACATTATTTGGCTGCACTTAGGAGGGTAGCCATAGACTAAATTTTTAGCTGCCTTACTAGGAAGCCCAACAAACCCAAAAAGGCTAAGGATCTAAAGTGACAGTAAAGCACCACAAAGATCAACACCTTCGGCTGTCGTACGCAAAACGAGACATAAGCGCTCACCCTCTTTACCCTCAACCCAGCCCTGGACAAATCTTCCGAAACCTCCATGATCTTTACGTAAGGGCCCCTGTATTTCAGAGAATGATAACCTAACTTAGAAGACCTATACCCCTTTGCGACCTGTGAACCCCATTGATGAACGCGAATCCCTACGTTGAGTGTCGGGGGGGAAGGGGGGGGGGGGGGGAAGGAGGGGGGAAGGGGAGGGGGGGGGGGGGGGGGGGGAAGGGGGGGGGGGGGGAAGGGGGGGGGGGGTTAACATTCTAAGCCCTGCAGCCAAAATCCTGCCATGGGGAAGGCAAGTTCTCCTGGCTGTTCGGGCCTGAAATTGGGTTACAAGAATTCTGAGTTAGCTTCGAATTCTCTAAAATAAAAGGGGCATAAGTAGCCTAAGCTAGGTTAGAATAAATAGAGGGCATAAGTACCCTAAGTTAGGTTATCATATTGAATGACGGGGCCCGCTCGAAAAATGCCTAGAAGCACACATACTACCAACATGCCACTGCAACAGCTACACTGCCCAAAGCTTCCTAAACCCCAGAGGCTGAGCATAGGTGTTTGTGAACCTATACATAAAACCCGCACCCTCAACCCTACTGTAAACCCTAAAGTCTAAACCCTTATTCGTGGGCTTGTAAGGCCTTAGCACGCTGTCAGCGTTCATGTTTGTATAGTGCAAACCTCCTACAAGTAAGGGCCTCTTTTTGTTCCCCACCCTCTGTGTGGGGTTGTTCGATTTTCAACTAAACGCTGCTCCTGGCCCGGTCTTCCTCACCCAGCACCCACATCCCCCTCGCCCCAGCGTGTCCCTGGAGTTCCCAACCCCAGTGTGTCCCTGCCGTGCCCAACTGTCCCTAGAGTGCCCAATGCCAGCCTGGTGTGCCCAATCCCCGAATAAATTGTAGGGTGGGGATGTTCGAAGCAGCAATAACTATACCTCCTTTGTTAAGGGGACTCTTAACCTAAGATCTGACCCTAACGCAAAAAACCCTAAGCCCTGAACCCAATCTGGGACCCTAAAAACTCTACTTGGAACTAGGGCCCCTCCTGGCAACCCTCCTACAATCCCAGCTGGTCCGCACCACGTCGCTCCACCAGCAACTGGATTGCCTCCCAATTCTCTCACGGCTGGGCCCCCCCGCAATAAGATCGCAACTAGGCTTAGGGTTCAGGGCTTATAGGGCTTGCAGGGTTTAGGGTAAACCCTAAACCCTAAACCCTATACCCTAAACCCTAAACCCTAAACCCAGATGTCTCTTGCTCTGGCTGGTCCAAGGCTTTTGTTTGGGCATCCAAGGCTCCCTTGGTTTTTTTAGGGCCCGCTTCGCTAAGTCTAAGGGTATAGGTACATGGCCCCTTAAAAGGGTTTAGGGTTTAGGGTTTAGGGTTGCCCCAAATAACCCAAGTTCTCCTACTTCAGGATTCTTTACAAGAGATAAGGGGCCATATTCAGGGACCATGGAACTACAAGCGATTGTGGAGTGGCTGCAGGCTCAGGTTATGGCTGTGGGGTTCTTTGCAGTCTTTGTACAAATGTACAGGGCCGGCTGGGCCTAGCAATCCAGCTGAACACCCGCTTGCAGGAGCTGTGAGTTCAAGCCCTTCTACTCCGGGCCTAAACCCTAAACCCTAAACCCCAAACCCTAAACCCTAAACCCTGCGGCTCGTGGCGTAAGTTCCAACCGAGCCGCATCCATCAACTTCATCCGTTCCGTGTGAATCAAGTAGGCAGCACCTCGTCATGCTGGTACTCGGTTTAGGGCTTAGGGCCCTAAACCCTAAACCCCAAACCCCAAACCCCAAACCCTAAACCCTAGACCCTAGGGTTTAGGGCCCTAAACCCTAAACCCTAAAAGTTTAGGGCTTCATCGCCCACACGCAGGCGAGCCATGGCGAGGCACACACAGTCCAACATCCATCGAAAGGAAATCTTTGCTAGACTCCCATGAAACCTTCCTCGGGGTTTAGGGGTTTGGGTTTGAGGTTTAGGATTTGGGCTCAAAATCCCCGAACTTCATAGTGCAACTTCAAACCCATAGCTCCAGTCGCATTCCCCTCCGACTCTCAGTACTTCTCCGACAGGGTTTAGGCTCGCATCGATGCAATTATGCCGGCGTGACCACTTCAAGGGCATTCCACCAATGCCCCAAGAGCATGCCAAGTGCACATCATCATGACCCGGCGTTTAAGGTGCTTAGGGATAAGATTTATAGGGTTTGGGGATGGGCACAGGGCTAGGGGTTTGGGATAGTTTAGGGTTGTTCGGGCTTGCATATTCCACCATAGCTGGCGTGTAGAACACCCTAAACCCTAAACCCTTTTTGCAAAACCCTGAACCCTGAACCCTAAACCCTAAACCCTGAACCCTGAACCCTGAACCCTGAACCCTGAACCCTAAACCCTAAACCCTAAACCCTAAACCCTAAACCCTAAACCCCTACCCCTAAACCCTAAACCCCAAACCCTAAACCCTCTTTCTGCAACCCAGGCGCATAGGGCCGCACTCCGGTTCTGACCGGCACGGCAGTGGACGACTGTCCTGCGATGGGAGTGGCTTGGAGGCTCATGGGTAGTTATAAAAAGTAGGGTTATAAGTACCCCAAATGGAGTTATAGGTATACTTGCCATACTTATAACCCTATTCATAACTAGTTATAAAGCAGGTCCAGAACTACCCCCCAAATGGAGCTATAAGTATAGTTACCATACTTATAACCCTATTTATAACTACCCATGAACGTCTTTGTGTGCTGTCAGCTTAGGTTTTTTGCTGTGCAAGAATTACAATAGATGCATGTATACACACATATATATATGTATAGATATAAATATAAACATAAATATAAATGTAAATACATATGTGTATGCATATGTATCCATATAGGCGTACATATATACATACATATGTATATGTTTATGTGTAAGCGTCTATAATTCATGTATATATATATATACAGACATGCATGCATACATACATACATACATACATACTTTTCATAATATCAATCTTTTTGCATATATATCTATATATGTATATTCTATATGTTTACAGATAAGCTTGCATATAGTTTAGGGTTTATGGTTTACAGGGTTCGGCCATAGTGTACTCCTGGGTGGTGTCTAAGCTATGGGCCGTCTTGGGGTACAGTAAATCTGAGACCGCGTGATTGAATAACATGCGCGTGTCATCACTGACTATGTGCGCGTGCTCCCGTGACACACTCTAAACCCTACACCCTACACCTAAACCCTAAACCCCTCCCAAGAAGCAAAGCATCAACAGGGTCCGGGGATCCTTCACCAGTATCCTTAAAGGGATGCAGGCCCTCAATCTTCCATCCATCGCCACACATGCTCTAAGGTGCCTTATAAACCCAAAACCCAAAAAACAAAACCCTAAACCCTTGAACCCTCAACCCTTTTCTTGAGGGTGGCCCTGGTTGAAGTACGCTCACGATGCGTTCGCATTGGGACAAGCTGCTTGATGCCATCTTCTTTCGCCTTCTGAAGGAACCTTGGCTCAGTTTAGGGTTTAGGGTTTAGGGTTTACGGTTTGGGGTTTAGAGTTTAGGGTTTAGGGTTTTTGTTGGTACACTTCTCGATTTGTGCGTGTCATCCTTGCGCAGGGGCCATGCTAATCTTCTCTGTATCGTTCCAAATTTAGCGGATGATCCCCGAAGGGAATCCGGTTTAGGGTTTAGGGTTTAGGATTTCGGGGTTTAGGGTGGACTTTTTGCTCACTCTTGTAGAGATTGCACAAGGTGGGCCAAGCCGCATCTCGAACTCACAAAGGTGCTTCTCGAGCAAAGGGTAGAAGTCGTCCTCAGCTGCGTCATGGCATTCGACACTAGAATGGTTTAGGGTTTAGGGTTTAGGACCCTACCTTGCGAGTACAGCATCACCAAAGTCACGGGACTCTGCCTTGGACCCTAAGGTGGTACCCGTGGGTTTGGGGACCCCTTTTTTTTAATCCTTCAAGGGAATATAAGGGCCATATTCGGAGTATATTCAAGGGAAACCTGTGGGGGCACAACCTTTAGGAGCACGAGTCTTGATTGTTGAGGGGGTCCCAACAACTGCCAACCACCAAACCCCCAAAAACTTCAAGGGTTTTTTTTGCCACATATGGGGTCTTCCGATAAAAGGGGTACACTTTTATGGGGTTCTTTTTTTAAGGATAAATCGCATTTTGGTGCACATACGGGGGACTCCATTGTCGTGAAATCACCACAAAAGACATAGTCACATAGTCTGTCCCAGCCGCATCATCTGCATCAATGTGCAGCATGCGCAGCTCTTGGGCGGGCACTTCTCCGCGTGGTGTGTAGATACCTGAACGGCATAGGTTCAGAAGCTGAAATCATAAGCCCGTCTAAACCCTGAGCAATATGGGTCTTCCCTTTACAAACCCCAAAATCTAGTAAAGATCCCCGCTTAGGTACCTAGTTTTCGCGTCTCTACACCCTTCCCCCATCCAAATTGAACTTTTATCTTCCGGTCCTTCCCATCTAAACCATAAGCTCAGAAACAAACGCTCAACCCTAAACCCCTGAAGCCAGCAAAGTGGAATCAAACCCCAGTCCAATTAAACCAAACTTGAGCAAATAAGCCATGGAGGGAGGGGGGGGGGGGCTGCCTGGTGGGGGACGAACCCCCGAAACCCCGAACTCTTCTAAGGCCTTAGCCCAAAACCCTAAACCCTAAACCCTAAACCCTGAACCCTGAAAGGATTTAAGCCCTTCAACCCCAAAACCCTTAACTCCTGCCGCCGAAGCAGCACGCCGAGGAGGCAACATTGGCAATGCCTCGGATTCCCAACTCCTGGAGAGGTGTGATCAAGGGACTACAAGGAGACAGGGTTTAGGGTTTAGGGTTTAGGGTTTAGGGTTTCGGGTTTCGGGTTTCGGGTTTAGGGTTTAAGGCTTAGGGCTTGGGGCTTAGGCCCGAGGGCTTAGGGTTTAGGGTTCAGGGCTTAGCCCATGATAGCTCCTCATTCTGTCAAGGGACTCAAGGAGGGACCCGTATTCTAAGGGACCTTAGGGGCTACATGGGGGCTACTTAGTAGGTATAGGAACTGTAGAAGGTGCATACAGGGATTACATAGGGGAGTAAGTTTAAGGGTCACTTCTAGAGGTCCCTCCTCAAAACCCTTCATGTCGGCCGGGGGTGACCTTCGAAGCCCTAGCACAGCAGGTTTAGGCTTGAGGGCTTACGGCTTAAGGCTGCAAATGTATGACCGACAATATCCGCACATAATCCGCCTAAAACCCCTAAACCCTAAAACCCTTTAAAAGCCCTAAACTAAACCTCGACCCTAAACCCCAGAAGCCCATCCTCTCCTTGTCAGAGCCCCTCCTCCCAGTGCCTAATCGCCCCATACCCACTAACACCCTAAACCCTTGCCCACCCCCCCCCAAAAAAAAAAACAAGAAGCAAATAAATAAATAAATAAAAATATAAATATAAATATTTATATATATATTTATTTATTTATATATATATATACCTACGTACAATAATAATAATAATAATAATAATAATAAAGGAGAGAACCTCGAAAGCCCGAAACCCTGAAATGCCCCCCCCCCCCCCAAACCAACCCCAAAAAAACAGCAACTCTAAACCCCAAACCCTAAACCCAAAAACACTAAAGTGCTAGAGCTTAGGCTTTGGGGCTTGTGAAGCTCAGAGGGCTTCTTGGACGGAGGCACCCTACTTTATGGCTCATATTTTTGTTGCCTAAACCCTAAACCCTAATCCCTAGACCCTAAACCCAAACCCCTAACCCGTCTAGCGACATCTCCGCGGGGCTATTGATAGGCTGAACACAAATCGCAGCCCAACCTCACCGAAACTATGATTCGAGTATGATTCATAGGGTCTAGGGTTTGGAGCTGAGGGTTTCCTAAACGGGGTTCGGGGAATACTTGGGGGTCGCCCCAAAATTTTGGGAAACACCCCATGAAAGTAGGTCTGAAAACTGTGCTGTCAGGGTCCTGGAGCTTCAAATCTACTAATTGCTTAAGAACCCAGAAAAATGAAGTATTCTTCCTTACTGAGGGTACTATAGGGATTTATGTATGTAATACTCTTTTGGGGTTCTTAAGCAAATAGGTTTAGGGTTTAGGGTTTAGGGTTTAGGGTTTAGGGTTTAGGGTTTAGGGTTTAGGGTTTAGGGTTTAGGGTTTAGGGTTTAGGGTTTAGGGTTTAGGGTCCCGGGGCTGAAGCGCCGGGCTCCTGCATTTTCTTGCAGTCCGTCACATCCTGCATGCCGCCCAAGTAGAGGCCCCAGTCCTTACGTGCTGACTATAGGGCTCCTGAACTCGGGTTGGGGGTTTAGGGTTTAGGGTTTGGGGTTTAGGGCTTAGGGCTTAGGGTTTAGGGTTTAGGGTTTAGGGTTTAGGTGCCAGGTCCTTTCATCCAACCTCTCCTAGGTATCTAGGAGCATCTGGCACTGCCTGGGTGGACAAGGTCTAGGGGTTGGTCTAAAGCCAGCACAGACTGTCAGACGTGACCAGAGGTTTAGGGTTTAGGGTTTAGGGTTTAGGGTTTAGGGTTTAGGGTTTAGGGTTTAGGGTTTAGGGTTTAGGGTTTAGGGCTTAAGAGCCCGAAACCTAATACTGAACTCGGACTTCTCAAATCCCTGGCCAGGGCACGCAGAGCCTCGCAGGCTGCTGCTCGGGGCGATGGTAGGGATCTGCCTGGCGTAACTCGGCATGGATCCGGTCCTTATGCCCAAAGGGCCAGGCACACTTGGTAGCCCAGTATACTATATTATTAGGGTTTAGGGTTTAGGGTTTAGGGTTTAGGGTTTAGGGTTTAGGGTTTAGGGTTTAGAGTAACCATCTTATGATAAGGGCACCCTTTTTGGGGTTGGTTACTTTGTAATGGAACCCAGAACCAAAAAAGGGTAAAGGGTACCACTGGGCTACCAGGCACAACAGAAAGCAGGTCTCTATCAATGTACCTAGAGTAACCTTTGCGCCATTAAACAAGGGGGGGGGGTGATGTACCTTCTTAGCTTTTTTCAACAGATACTTAAGGTTACTCCAGGTCTGAGTCTAGTGGGCATTAGAACTCATAGGACTACCAACCCAATGTGTGGTCATGTTCATATCTTAGCTTTGGAGTAGACCCTGGAAAAAAGTATATACTTTTTAGGTAATAAGTAGCAATAATAGGAACCCAGAACCAAAAAAAGTATTAAAGTATAGTACTCCAAAGCCCAGATGTTGAAGTCGAAGGGTTCAAGGTTCAGGAAGACTTGAGCACCTGTACCATGATTGCTGTACCTGCAAGAGCGAACGAAACTAGGGGCTTTGGCTTGTATTCGCCAAGATACTGGAACAACCCAATATGAAAGGGTGTATAGTGTATATGTATATAGATATGTATATAGGCAACTGACTGGTCATGACCTTATTTGGGGGGTATCTGTAACCCTGCTTTAATTTATGTCCCTTAAGTAAAGTTAACAAACTGCTATTTGCTTAACCCCCCCCCAAAAAAAATATATATATATATATATAAGCAAAATCATAATCACTATATTGCCCTTATAAGGGGTTTCTTAAGCAAATAGTCACAGAAGGGGCCCTTGCTTTGTACAAGGAGAATTCCCCCTCATTGGGTTTTTCCTACTTGCACACTAGCAGGCTGAGCACAGAGACCTAGCGGTGAAGAAGGACTCCTGTCCTTACCCTCTCAACCCTACTAAAAGGACCCTAGATTGGGTAGACAGCGTGGAGTATACCATATTGCGTGTATATTCGGGGACCTATAGGATCTTACAACTTAGGTTATAAGTCCCTGACACTAAGTTAGCATAACAAAGGGTTCCTTACTTTGTAGGCACTGTCGGGCTGAGCTGCAATGATGGCCTTGTCGAGGGCAGGATCGTACGGCATCTCGGCACCCAGGTGCAACGTGGAGGGAGACAAAAATTGGCTGGAGGGCAATCTTGATTTGGACATCACAGATCCGGAGTCCCTTTGTTTGGGTTTAGGGTTGCCTTACGCTAAAACCCTGAACCCTATAGACCCTAAGCCCCGAACCACACACACAGGCCTGGTGCACGCGGGCATGGCAGGTTCCCATGGCCGCAAAGGGGCACGTCTGCGCGCCGATGACTCGGACAGGGCAGTCTTGAGCCGGCGTAGCTGCCTCGATGCGGCACGATGCGGCTTTCTGGCCTCAGTCACCCTTTTGAAGCCACCATGGCCAGCATCTATCAGGATGAGCTCTTATACCCTCTATAACCCCTTTTAAAACACGGGGCACGTGTGGAGGTTGATTAAAGGGGAGTATATAAGGCCTCCCGGGAAGCCCAGTGCGGAACGCTCCTTCTTGGTGTTCGCGACGGTGTCGTAGCTCTTGTATGCCAAGGTCACCTCCCGGTAGGTCGCAAGCGTGCGAGCGCGTGAAAGCCGAACGGGCGCTACCATAAATTCTTGATGCCCTAGAAACCCTAAGCCCAAAACACTAAACCCTAAACCCTAAAGCCCTCTGAAGACCTAGCAAGATCCTGCGAAACCCGCTCGAACACCCCTGTAAGAACATGAAGACCACGTCGGGGGTGTACGAAAATAGGGCACACCCCCAATATAGATCCGCGAATAGTAGGATCCCCTTGCAATAAGGACCCGAATAAGGTACACCTAATTCCGGAAACCCCCTAAACACTAAACTCTAAGCCCTAAACCCTAAACCCTTGTTGCAGCCGGGCTTGGGCAGTCGGCCGGGGATGGTAGTTGTGGCTCTAAACCCTAAACCCTAAACCCTAAACCCTAAACCCTGAACCCTGAACCCTAAACCCTAAACCCTAAACCCTAAACCCTAAACCCTGCAAGAACATGAAAAGCACATGGCCGGGCCATCTTGTTCGCCATGGCAAAGGGCTCCTTGGTCGCCATCTTTTTGCCATCGAGGGTCAGCTCCTGAGCCGCCAGAGCTGCCGCTATCGTTCGTTTAGGGTTTAGGGTTTAGGGTTTAGGGTTTAGGGATTAGGGATTAGGGATTAGGGTTGAGGGTTTAGGGTTTAGGGTTTAGGGTTTAGGGCCTAGGGTTCAGGGTTCAGGGCTTCGGCTCTCGCCCTCGCACAGGGCAGGCAAGGATTCGGTCCGACAGTCTGACTCATTAACGCACGACAGGAGTCCTGCAGCAAAGGGCTTAACTAAGTGAGGGAGACAGTCATCGTGTTCAACAGCCATACTGATTATTAGACAACAAAACCCCAGGCAGGACACCCCTCTCAGTCTACATTCGTGAGAAGACATTGCTCCAACGCTCCGACTTCATCTAGCTAGGGCACGGGGACTTTGCTCATATACTAGTTCATGGTTGGGATAGTATTAAAATTTTAAAATTATATTCCTTATTGGGTTTAAGTACCCTTAAAAATGTAAAATGTTACCCAACTACGACAAAGTATAGGGTTTAGGGTTCAGTTCTTCTTTCTGCCAGCCGTCTGCCCGCGCCCCACGGGGCAATGATGGGCTGGACTTTAGGGCTCAGTGCGTCGACTCGCGCACACACTAGCAGGTTTAGGGTTTAGGGTTTAGGGTTTAGGGTTTAGGGTTTAGGGTTTAGGGTTTAGGGTTTAGGGTTTAGGAGAGAGGGCAGGGCTCTGGTCTGAAGGTCGCGGTGAAAGTGTACCAGGTGCACCACACAGTTCGGCTGTCAGACCAGGACGAAATGCACGGCAAACGCCTAACACGTGTGCATACGGTGAAGCAATGGAACCGTTGACAAGGTTCGACATCTGTAGTACAGGGGCCTGAATAATTAGAATAGGGTTTTGGGGAACATGATAAGAGAATCACAAAGGGACCAGAATGCCATAAGGGAAGACTCTTAGTACTTATTCCGAGCCCTACAGTAGACCTGCAGGCTTCAAAAAAACTTCCTGGTTGCCCGTTTTGCTGCTCGCCAGTGTGAGGTCGAAGCATCACAGGAGGTGCAATCAGGGTTTAGGGTTTAGGGTTTAGGTTGAGCCGATCTCTTCAACATCCACAAAGCCCACGACAATGTATCGCTCACCTCGGGTCACCGGCTGGCCACCGTGGCGCAGCTTCCCGCTATGTACAAAGCAATCTCCTTGCTGTATCTGGTAAGCAAAGTCATCTGCTTCCACATATGTGCCTTAGTTGCTGAGTTCCTAAGCCCCCCCCCCCCCAAAAAAAAAAAAAAAAAAGTGTACACCAATTCAGTTCTATAGGGGATCATGGTACCCCCCAAAAAGTGTAAGGGTGTACTCATTCAGCTACTAAGGTGCCACCACCTTCGAAATCTCCCGCGTCGTTCAGCAGGATGTTGAAGGAGATGATGGAGCCGTCGCGATGTAGGGCCAGGCCAGCTTGACCCTGCACAGAGTACCTCTACTGAACTGGGAACCCTAGCAAAGAATTGCAAATCTAGCTGTTTCTTAGGAATCTTAAGTGCCCGAAAATAAATAAAAAGTACTCCCAAGTAGCCCTAAGGTTTAAAAAGTATTCCCAAAGTAGCCCTATAGGGCACTGAACGAAGAAGAGGTCCCTGAAGTAGAGGCACGAACCAGATCCATCACCCCAACCATGCCGCTTGGCGAGCTGCGGAAACACCCTTTCTGCTAGCGATGCTCTCACCCAAGCCTAGTTCATGGTTGGAATAGTATTATAAAGCTTACAATGTCTATTCCTTCTTCGGTTTAAGTACCCTTAATTAAAAGTGTAAAAAAAGGCGACCCAACTATGACAAAGAAGCGTTTAAGTACCCTCAAACGCGTAAAAAAGGCTACCCAACTCTGACACAGAAGCGTCGACTTCTGGAATGCGGCTGCAAGGCAGGTCTGTGGTGGCATAGGCCGCGTGCCTGTCAGTTGTCCATCCGGAAGCTTTCTCCACAGCAGCTTTAACAGCACCCAGAACGTGGTCGCACTCTGTTGGTGACCACACGGCCTTCAGCGTATACACTTGGCGCAAGTGTGCAGGAACATCCAGCTGCTTGGCAGCTCGAATCCTGCCGTCTTCCTTGGCCTGGGCAGCTCGCTTCTGCAGATCCTCTTGGTCCATCAGAGCAGGACTCACCCCCAAGGCCTCACAAATGCTGTCGCGGTTGCGCAACCGCGCAATCTCCACAGCTGCAAAACCGTCTGCATCACGCACAGAAGCATCTGCCCTCCTTTCCATGAGAAGTTGAGCCATCTCCTTCTCACCAGAACCTTAGGGGTCCCAAATGAATTCTGAACGGGCTTATGGGTTCATCTTCCCTTAATCGGGATGAGAGTAGACTTAGTATAGGGTACATGACCCCCATTTTAGGGTTCATTTGGGTCCCCAAGGCACGAGCAGCCAAGTGTAAGGGGGTCTGGCCGCCGGCTTGAACCACGACGTTTTGCAATATCAAGTCCTTCGTTTGGCTGTTCATCGGCGCCCCGGCGTCCAGCAAAGCTCTTGCCAAGCGCACCTTAAGGTAGACCAGTATAACCATAAGAAAGGGCACCCCTTTTTGGGGATGGTAACTTTATAAGGGAACCCATAGCCCCAGAAAAGGGTAAAGGGCACCACTGGGCTACCAAGGCACCATGCCGTATTGTGCAGCATAGTGCAGGGCTGCATAGCCGCTCTCTCGCTCGCGATGATCAGGGCCGTTGGTGGCCAACGCCTCAGCCAAGGCTTCAACGGCCGCGTCCTCGTCACAGCAGGCGGCATGCTGAATCACGGACTGCATCGATGTTGCGGTTGACACGGGCCACAACTTCAGTCACCACTCACGGAGTCTACAAGCGATGCAAAGGCAAGCTTGAGCCAAGGGCTTGGCTCTGGCGTGTAGCCCAAACTTAAGCCATGCTCCTCATTACAGGAGCCCCAAAATGGGCACACTTAATTTCGGCTAGCGGAGTTTTGGGCAGGTTTAGGGGTTTCTATGCTGAACTTGGCACCCTAGCAAAAATCAACCATTTAGCTGTTCCTAGGGATTATAGAAACCAAAAAGAAAAATATTTCCAAGTACCCTAAGGTTTGGGTTGAGGGTGCAAGGACGCACGCGCCTTGAGCCTCGGTGCATAGTGCTTCTCCGAGTGTAGGCCCCAGTCTGCTGCGCCACCGCCTGCAGTGGGCTGGCCCTGGAAACTTCTTAACACTCCGAACTCTCTACCCTAAACCCTTTTGAAGCACGGACTGAGGAGACTAAACCCTCAACCCTCAACCCTAAACCCTAAACCCTAGCCCTAAACCCTAAACCCCAAACCCCAAACCATTACGCCCTGAACACCCTGGAACCTTGGGTTGGGGTTTTGGCGACTCCCAGCCTTTCGGCCAGCTCACTTCCCCGGGGCAGGCTTTGTAGTAGGAGTCCTCACACATTTTTTCCTTTTGGGTTTAGGGGTTAGGATTCAAGGTCAGCGTTCAGGGTTTTAGGGCTTGGGGTGTTCTCAAAGGGCCATAAGGTTAAGGACCCATGGGTTCAATTCCGGACTCCCTTTGGTCCAAGTGTTGGGGGGGGCTTCGGGCTTTAAGCGGGGGATTCTTGGTTTACCCTTGCTGCCGAAGGTTAAGATCGTCTGTGCGTGTTTTTGTTCCCCGTGTTGCCACGGATTGCGGCATTCTTAAGGCCGGGAACATTCGGCGCTAGCCGAAAGGGTTTGGTGGAACTCAGCAAAGCAACACTGCAACACGTCGACATCTGGGATCTTGGCTTTCAAAAAAAACAGGAAGCTTTTCAACCATTGAGCCTGGACGCAGACTACCGCACGAACTCAAAAGCAAGCTCACGCCTGCCCCCAGTCCAATGCCAGGGTGGAGATAATCGCATGAGCGTATGCCTCAGTTGCACCCGGCTTTCGGGCACACTTAAAGAGAAATAGACCGCTGCCCATGTTCAACAGCCTGCACGGCGGCATGCTCAGCAAATGTCCTGTGAGACCCTATAGGGAGGGCTCGCCTTACTATCATGAGTCAGAGGACACTCGACCCAGGAGTAACCTAGTAATAACAAGGGTACCCTTCTTGGTTTTAAGGGGGATTATTGGGGAACCGAAACCCGAAAGAAAGGGGAATAAAGTCCGACTCTGGGTCCTAGGACCTAAGGACATGTAGCTGCAGTTGTCGTGCTTGTGACCCAACCTTTGGCCTTTACAGCTCTACTTTAGAGTTAGGGACCTACTTCCGGGGCTGCTCCTAAGGAACTTAACTGAGGCTGCCATAGTAGAGATACATGGGTACCATTGTGTGTAGCTTGCTTAGCGTACCTTAATTAAGGGTCCTTAACTGTAACCCGCTTCCAGATGACTCCCGTAAAATATGCTACATGCAGCCAAGCCACCGAATTCCGACCATCAACAAAACCCTAACCTGAAAAATGCTACAAAGCCTTGATGCCCAACATCTGAAATCTCAGTTGACCCTGGCAAGGAGATGTTGATGTGACTGTCCTAAACCCTAAACCCTAAACCGAAACAACCTCGCCAAGATCTTCAAGCCCTTGACACCAGCAAAAAAAAAAACTTGCGCCTTCGGTGTCAAGAGGTTACCCCAAGCTCCCTGGCTTAGGGTTTGGGGTTTATGCAGGGTTTAAGGTTTAGGGGCTGGGGGCCTGAACCCGAAGCCTGACTGAACCATGAGCCCTAAACCCTAAGCCCTGAACCCTAAACCCTAAACCCTAAACCCTAAGCCCTGAACGCTCAAAGCGCTTCCACGCAGCATCAAACATTGAGGCCGCATCGACCTGACGCCCTCCTCCCGGAAGCTTGTTCTCCTTGGAAAAAACGGTTGTGGCTCGGGGTTTTGGGGTTTTGGGGGGTTTTGGGAGGTTTTGGGAGGTTTTGGGGTTTTGGGAGGTTTTGGGAGGTTTTGGGGGGTTTTGAAGTTTTGGGGTTTTGGGGGGGTTTTGGGGGGGTTTTAGGAGGTTTTGGGGGGTTTTGGGTTTGGGGGATTTGGAGGTTTTAGGGCTTCTTTCCTCCTGCTGGGCGAAGCGCATTGCTGGGATGCATGTCAAATGTCTCTTCATTCGGGTTTCGGGTTTACGCTTAGGGTAGTAAGGCTACATGCTCCTCCCTTTCATTGGGCCATCATGGATCTGGGGTTAACGGTTTAGGGTCCCTAAAACCCTAAAACCCTAAAACCCTAAAACCCTAAAACCCTAAAACCCTAAAACCCTAAAACCCTAAAACCCTAAAACCCTAAAACCCTAAAACCCTAAAACCCTAAAACCCTAAAACCCCTAAAACCCTAAAACCCTAAAACCCCTAAAACCCTAAAACCCTTTTGCACAGGCTTTCTCTCAGCCCCAACACCCTTAACCCTAAACCCTAAGTTAACCTGGGGCTGCCGAGTGGCTGTGAAAGTGCGGAGGCCACGGAAGCACTTGTCCTGCACAGGAAGACTCTCTACCAGCATGGGCTATTTGGCCTTAGACTCCCCCTGACCAACCATGTTTAGGGTTTAGGGTATAAAGGGCCTTTTTAAGGGCTTATAGGGTATAATAGCCCATGCAGGTGTGGATGTCGGAGGGAGAACTGGTATAGGGAATCAATGGTTCCTCGTAGGGTTTAGGGTTTCGAGTCTAGGGTTCAGGGTTTGGGGTTCTGGTTTGGGGTTTTGGCAGTTTAGGGTTTAGGGCTTAGGGTTCAGTAGAAAACCGTATAGGGTACAAATGCGGAAGGTCGCAGCACTTCTAAGATATTGGAAACAGTTTGCTGACCCAGCAATAGCCACATGTGTGGGGCTTACATGGTTTAGGGCTTGCCTAGCCCTAAACCCTATACCCGAAACTCGACTTGCGACAGAGACATCGGCGTTTAAGCCCGCTCCCGTGGGAACTTGCCTGTAACCGAGGTTGTTCAGTCTGAAGCCTCCCCAAACCCTAAGCCTGAGCCAAAAAGCCTCAACCCCTCAAAAAATACCCTTAGCTCCTACTAATTGCTTAACAAACCCCCAGAAAGAAAACATATCTGTCTTAATATAGGGTTTTGTTCTTTTCTACGGGTTCTTAAGCAAATAGTAGGCTCATGAGCGCTCCGGTCTCTGCCTCAACCTCCAGACGCGTTGGTCCTGTTGCGTGTTGTCAGGCATTGCAGGGCGGGAGACGGCCGGTGCGCCGAAGGTGTAGACCTCCTCAGGGTTTAGGGTTTAGGGTTTAGGGTTTAGGGTTTAGGGTTTAGGGTGGGCAGATCGGCGTTTGGGCTTTTGGGTTGCTTTAAATGTGAGGGCCTGCTGGCATGTGGCTCACTTTGCATTCTGGCTGGGCAGCTCTGAGCTTTAACCCCAAGCACACAACACCAAAGAGAGAGAGAGAGAGAGAGAGAGAGAGAGAGAGATAGAGACAGAAGGAACGAGAGAGAGGGAGAGAGAGGGAGAGGGAGAGGGAGAGGGAGGGAGGGAGGAGGGGAGAGAGGGGGAGGGGGAGGGGAGGGGAGGGAGGGGGAGGGGGTGGGGGAGGGGAGGGGAGAGGGGAGAGGGAGAGGGGGGGGAGAGGGGAGAGGGGGGAGGAGGGGAGAGGGGGAGGGGGAGAGGGGAGGAGGGGAGAGGGGGAGGGAGAGGGGAGAGGGGGAGGGGAGAGAGAGCGGAGAGGGGAGAGGGAGAGGAGAGAGGGAGAGAGAGGAGAGCGGGAGAGAGGAGAGGAGAGAGGAGGAGAGAGGGGAGAGAGAGAGAGAGAGAGAGGGAGAGAGGGGAGAGAGAGAGGAGAGAGAGAGGAGAGAGAGGAGAGAGAGGAGAGAGAGGAGAGAGAGGAGAGAGAGGAGAGAGAGGAGAGAGAGGAGAGAGAGGAGAGAGAGGAGAGAGAGGAGAGAGAGGAGAGAGAGGAGAGAGAGGAGAGAGAGGAGAGAGAGGAGAGAGAGGAGAGAGAGTAGAGAGAGGAGAGAGAGGAGAGAGAGAGAGAGAGCAATAGAAGAGAGAGAGAGAGATAGAGACAGAAGGAAAGAGAGAGAGACAGAAGGAAAGAGAGAGAGGGAGAGAGAGCGAGTTAGAGAGGAGGATCTAGCTGCAGCCCTGGTCGCCGCGACGGTACCGGGGGTTCCCGCAGAAGCCAACACCAGACTTCCGTTGTGCCGTGGACCTGAACTACTGGTTTAGGGTTTAGGGTTTAGGATTTAAAGAATAAAAATGACAATCCCTATATTCCCCTTAATAAGGAAGAATACTTTCATTTTTGGGGGGTTCTTAAGCAACTGGTAGCTGGTAGTGAAGGCTCTTACTGACTTGTTTCTCAAGCTCTCGGGTTCGATTCGAGTCCCTGGATCTTTAAGGACTCCATTTCTTTTTCGGTTTAGGGCTTAGGGTTTAGGGCTTAGGGTTTAGGGTTTAGGGTTTAGGGTTTAGGGCTTAAGGCTTAGGTTTTAGGGTTTAGGGTTTAGGGTTTAGGGCTGTTTATGGGCCCAAAAGCCAAGCGGCACACAGCTTCACGGGACCATTTCGAGCCGAAAACTGTTTCTTCGTGCTACACCTCTACACACACACCTATATATATATATGTGATTTATAGATTCAGGTGTGCTTGTGTGGGTGGGTGCCAGTTTGTTAGTGTTCCTCACCCTAGAATACCCCAAACCCTAAACCCTAAACCCTAAACCCTCTAAACCCTCTAAACCCTACAAACCCTAAACCCCAAACCCCAAACCTGCTCAATGAAGCCAGGGGCGCCGTTAAAGTTGGACACGCGGCGCTGGAGCAGTTCAAGGCCTGGGTGGGCTGAGCGTTGCTGGGAATCGGTCGTGGCCCGGTCTTTTGGGTTTTTAAGGGTTTTTTGAGGGTTTTGTAGGGTTGTTAAGGGTTTTTTAGGGTTTAGGGCTTTAGGGTTTTAGGGTTTTAGGGTTTTGGGGTTTTGGGGTTTTAGGGCTAGGGAAATAGGACTTTAGCTTTGCTTCTCCAAAAACCAGCACTAGACAGCTGGTTCGGAAAGGGTTAAACTCTATTCTTCCTGCTAAAGAAGGAAAACCCAAGCAGTTTAAGCTTCTACTATTGGCTAAGTCAGTTAGGGGTTTTATAGGGCTTTAGTAGAGGGGTGTTAGGGCTTAGGGCTTTGGGGTTTTATGGCTCACGAAAGGAGTACGGAGCACGCTTAGGAATATTGACGAGAGGCAAGACCCTAAACCCTAAACCCTAAACCCTAAACCCTAAACCCTAAACCCTAAACCCTAAACCCTAAACCCTGAACCCTAAGGGTCCATGTACCCAATCCTTGGACTCCAAGGTCCCGAACAAAAAAAGCACTTTGAGGCCCAATGTATTCCCTATTTAGGTGCATGGACCCCTAAACCCTAAACCCTAAACCCTAAACCCTAAACCCTAAACCCTAAACCCTAAACCCTAAACCCTAAACCCTAAACCCTAAACCCTCTCCGGGAAGAGTTTAGAGGTCGGGGGGCAGGGTCAAGGCTGGCGTTCTGGACGGACGCGTCATGGCGTGTAGACATGCAGGCTGGTTGGCTGCTCCCACATGAGGCCTCTGAGGATCCGTGTACCTATCTTTTGCAGAGACTGGGGCCTTCAAGGGGTTCCTATATAGTGGCCGTAGGGCCCAAGTATGTGTATGTACTGTATAGGTACCTGGGTCCTTATACCCACAAGATCTGACGCCACAAACCAGCAGACAGTATTGCGCACAGTCTTTTGCAAAGTCGCATGAGTAGTTGGGCCAAAGATAACACAATCTGATTCTGTATCTATGAAACCTCCTCTTCTGACTGCGGCTGCTCGGCTTAGATTCTTTTCGGAAAGCGGCTGCCCCTTGACGACTCCTCATGAGAAGAAAACCCTAAAACAAGGTAACCCCAAACCCTAAACCTTATAAACCCCTAAACCCCTAAACCCCCTCTGCGTATATACATGAAACCACCAGGTGTTATATCAACACGCCTCCTAAAACAAGGGCCTCATATCTACCGACGAGCCACGCATGTCTTCGGTTTCCGAGTCCTGAGGCGAGGGATTGTAGACCCCACGTCCGTCTCCGTAACGAGGACTCCACACAACCAACGGTTGCAGGGGACCCCAGGGGTCTTAATTTTTGGGTTTAGGGTTCAAGGTTCAAGGTTTAGGGTTGTTCATCCCTCATATCCTCCGCACAAAGCGTCCCCGAAAGCATTGCAAACGGAGAGCTGCAACCCAACTAATAGCTGACAGCCGAGACCCTAGTAAGGGTCGATGTGCTGCGCCTTCAAGTGCTTCCTGTATAGGGACTTTGCGGCCCATGGACCCTGAGGGTATGGCCACCCTTTTGCACCCAAACCCTCAGCCTCAACCCTAAGCCCTAAGCCCTAAACCCTAACCCCTAAACCCTAAACCCTAAACGAAGGCATGGGTCCACCAAGGGATGGCACGCGCCATCGACGCACACCTCTTCAGACGGCTCCTTGCGAGGGAAGGTTCGAGGTGCAGAGACTGATAGGGTTTGGGGTGTGGGGTTAGGGTTTAGGGTTAAGGGTTAAGGGTTTAGGGTTTTAGGGTTTTAGGGTTTTAGGTTTTAGGTTTTAGAGTTTAGGGTTTAGGGCTGCGAAGGTACAAGAAGGACCCCCCCTTGTAATTGAAGGAGAATACTTAGGCTACAAGTCCCGGAAGAAAGTTAGGCATAATAAAGGGTGCCCTGCCTTTCTAAGGTTCTTAAGGGAGGGGGGAGCAATGAGGGGAAGGTACCTAAGGAACCTCAGGGAAGCTGAGGGAGCCTTAGGGAGTAGTGCGGAGTCCCTCGTAGGTGCCATGAAGTGTTTCAGCATGACTTCTTGCGGCAATCCGGTTTCGGGCTTTATAGGGTTTCGCGCTCAGGGCCTTGGGGATTTATGGGGTTTTTTGTGGGCTTTGACTGTGGAAGCCGGGAACTATGCGGAATAAAACGGTGGGTTTAGGATTCAGTTTAAGGTTTAAGGCTTAAGGCTTAGGGTTTTGGGTGCAGGGTTTAGGTCGGGTTTAGGGGGCGCCATGCCTGCGCCTGCGCCCAATTGGTGGTGCCCAGAAGCAGCGCCAATCCGGATAAGGTCCGCATGGTACGACACGGGGATATGAACCTTCATGAGTTGAATCCATGCTTTTCGCAGGCTACACAAGCAGCTGAAGACTTAACCTTTGCAGCGGGTATGGTGATGTTCGAACACGCAAGAAACCCTAAACTCTGACCCTAAACCCTAAAGCAGGTGGAAGCCTGTGCGAGCAACTACTGTTGTCGTCGAATCTGCCGCGCCACCGCTATCCGGCAGACAAGCTGGAGGCCCCAAGCCGAAACACCATACAAGGAGGCCCCCCCCCCCCCCTCTATGCTAGCTATATGTTAAGGGACGAAAATTATGGTCCCTTTTTGGATCCCCATTATAATACGGCGCCTAATATTTAGGGTACCCCAAAAGGGATCATAATTTTGACAGCCACCCATATAACCTAAGTTAGTATCCTTGCAACCCAATTTAGGGTCTCAGCCCAAAAGTGGCCAACCTCAAGCGACCATATTAACAATAAATAAACAAACATATATATATACCTATATACATACACACATATACAACGGCGTTTTTATCCTTGGCAGTTGAGAGGCAAACCCTTAACCCCAAACTCAACCCAAAACCCCAATCCCTTAACCCTCAACCCAAAACCCCAACCCCTAAACCCTAAAACCTAAACCCTAAACCCTAAACCAGGCCCTGCCATGCTGCAGGCATGGCACGCTTTGGGCGACGAGAAAGGATACGTTGCGAGAAGCGCAAAAGATGAAAGCTACGGGAGCCAAGCAACAGGAGATGGCAGAGCCGAGATCCCTAACCCTAAACCCTAAACCCTAAATCCTAAACCCGAAACCCTAAATCCTACACCCTAAACCCTGGAGGCCCTTGACCCTAAAGTGGGCACGGGAGAAAGTTCGGGATTCAACGGTTTTGGGGTTGAGTTAACGGCCTTAGGCAGCTCGTGGACATTCAGGGTTCGGAGGTTTAAGGGATTCGCGAAGATGCATGGGGTTTAGGAGTTTAGGAGTTTAGGGTTTAGGGTTTAGGGTGTTGGGGCTTTGGCTACACCAACTTGCAACTTGTGCAACTTTCCAGCCTTTCGAGGGTTACGCACGAGAAGACATGAGCGCATCGGGCTCTTCGGCCCCCCGCCGCCCCCACGCCATCTGGTAAGGCACCTGTAATGCCAAAAACCTGGCTTTGTAATTTGATAACTTTTTATAAGTATAGGGCTTCAATTCAAGCTACCACGACCCAGAATCTGACAGTCCAAACAATTCCTAACCCCAATCCCTAAACTCTACACCCCAAACCCAATACCCAAAAGCCCAAGCAAGGCTCCAGCTCAGGTGCATGCGGTCTTTTATCCAGCAAATGATAACGAGTAGTCTCCTTTCACTCCCCCTCCACCCACGCACCCCCCCCCCCCCCTCTACGGGTCCCCGTTACGTACCTACAACAAACCCTACAACTCCTATAATTCCCTTTACATCCTATAAACCCCATAATTACTACATACCCTCTAATTCCGATAAACCCTATGTAATTCCTATGCACACTATAATTCCTGCCCTAAACCCTAAACCCTAAACCCTAAACCCAAGGCTTCATACCGCTAGGAGTACAGGACCTCGGGTTGCCAACTTTGTGTCGACGCCGCAGCCTCGAAACCGAGAGCTGACCTTAGATTGGGTTTAGGGTTTAGGGTTTAGGGTCTAGGTCTAGGGTCTAGGGTCTAGGGTCTAGGGTTTAGGGTCTAGGGTTTAGGGTTTAGGGTCTAGGGTTTAGGGTTTAGGGTTTAGGGTTTGGGGTTTGGGGTTTAGGGCTTCGGGTTTCGGGTGTAGGTTTGGGAGTACACCTCTGTCTCGCTGTAGCTATGCAAGGACAGTGTAGGGTTTAGGGTGTAGGGGGGCCTCCTTACTATGCTAACAACGCCTGCACCAGCCAGCCACGATTCAACATTCTTGCGTTGAGGCTCCAATTCCGACCCCTGTATAGAAACCCTAAACCCTAAACCCTAAACCCTAAACCCTAAACCTAGTAATGGGGTCCGAGCCGCGCCCCGGCACCCCAGTGACTGGGCCGGCGCAGCGTCGCCAGGGGCGAGGCGGCGTCGAAGAGCGTGGCGGCCCTCGGCTGCCCCTAAACCCTAAACCCTGAACCCTAAACCCTAGACCCTAATACCCTAAACCCAAAACCTAAACCTTAAACCCTAAACCCCCAAACCCTAAACCCTTTCTGTTCGTGTGTGCGGCGCCTGGTTTTATGCAGCCCTCAAGCCCTTTTTTTGTGTCAACCTAGGCTTCTCTCCTACTGACTTTATACCCCAAAAGCCCGACCTTACAAAGTTGCAGACACCCCTTCTTGGAGAACTTGCAAGGTTCCATATGGAGAGTTGCACATCCCCCCCCGGCCCCAAGATCCCAAGAGAAGGTTCTTGTCAGGTAGAACTTGAGGGTTGAGAAAGGGTTCTAGTTTTATGGGGTTTAGGGTTTAGGGTTTTATGCCACAAACATGCTTAGGGTTTAAGGGGGTTCAGGGTTCAGGGTTTAGGGCTTCCCGTCAGCCAGAAGGAGGGAAAAAACAAGCAGGGTACATTTGAGACGTAAGGTTTTCGAGGTGACTTAGGGTGAGGCTTAGTTTACCTTGGGCCTTCATGATTCAGACTCAACCTCACAGGTGCAGGTCTTGGGCACAGCAAGTTGCTTAGCTCTTGTTCTCACGGAAGCTACAAACACCGGAATCTGCTCCGGGAAGAGAAGTGGGGTGGCTTTTCGCAAGGTGGACGGGTTGGGTTGGCTCAGGCTTTTCAGCCCTGAACTTCGCAGACAATGCTTCCAGGCGTCTCGGGCTGTACGTGAACGGCTGCAGAACGGCCGGGGGCTAGTGCAGGACTGTTCGAATGCACCTGTCCGCCTTGGCCCCAGGTTGGAGATCAAGCTTCGAAGGGTGCCTTGTAGTACCTATCATTCCCATTCGTAGACCCAAAAGAGCAACCTAGGTATGAAAAGAGTACCCTGAACCCTAAACCCCAAACCATAAAACCTTTTTCGGTTTAAAGGGGCTCGAACGCATGCAGACAGAAGTCTCCAGCATTCCCCAACGCATCATATCAGCAGGAGGATTCCAGTCACAGAACAACCGCGGGTCAAAGAAATGGGGCCATGACCGTAACCCCTACAATGAGGGGGCCCTCCTAGTCATAAGTAGAGTTATGAGGACCCTTAACATGGGCTATCAGGATCCTAATTTAGGTTATAAGTCACTTAGCTAGAGTTAGTATAGTAAGGGGCCTCCTTGTAACTCAACGACACTCAATACAGGAAGCTGCTACTGCAGGGTGTCCACTATAGTGCAAGACGAGCTGCACAGGCTGGACCCGCAAACATAGATGCCAAACGGCCACTCGCAGGTGTTCTGCTCGGAAGCTGAAGACACGTAGCCTAGCAAGGGCATGTGCCAGCACGGTTGCTTGTCGATACTGACTGGAGCCCAACCAGGCGGCAACGACAATGCCACGGAACTCGAGTCGACCGCTTGACCGATTTGATGCCTCCGCTGGCGGTCAGCTGCTTCTCATAGCATTTGTTCTCTTTGCCGGAGCCCGTCTGCAGAAGGATGCCGAAATGCCTTCACGAGTCACAGTTCTCAGACCCTGCTTAACCCTAAACCCTAAACGGTAAACCCTTAGCCCCCGAGCCCAACACTCGGATGCCCCTACATGCCGATGTGACAACCTCTCAGCATCTGGACAGCTCTTCTGAAACCGAATAAGGCCTTCTTAAGAGTACCAGAAGACATAAAAGCCCAAGTGACCCCGATGGGAGGCTCCTGTAAGGAGGTCTATAGAAGAAACCCTCTTGCTGCTAAACCCTAAACCCCAAACTCCCAACCCGAAGCCCTAAGCCCTAAAGCCTAAACTCCAAACCCGAAACCCTACCGCTGTGTCAGCATTTCATCGAAGTCACTCCGTGGAGTTTGCAGATTCCGCGTTCACGTGACTGTGGTTGACAAGTGACCTGGCAGCAAGAGGGTACCATGCGGAGAACTCCCAAGCTGTTTTTGTTTCGGGTTTAGGGTCTGAAGCTCGCTGCCACATCAGGGAGCAAGATTCCCAACCCCCCCAGGCAAGCAGCATTGCATTGCATCACTTGGCCTTCTACTTCTGCGCCCCAAAACCCCCGGACCTGGCCTGTTGTAGACGGCTGCACTTGAGATGCTGTTGTTTAGCGCAATGACGCCCAGCACGCCCGTGGCGTCTTCGAATCGTGCCGTCAGGGCACGTGAGATGTTAATTGACCTTCGCATGGCGCACAGCAGCATCTTCAAGCAACGTCGCCGTCATCAAATGCGCAAGAACACACCCAACCCTCAGGGCACGTGTCGATTCTGCTTCGGGCGCTGAAGCTACCATGTAGGAACCCCTTCAAGGGCCTTGAATATACATATATATATATAATACACATACATATGTTATACATACACACAGACATGCATGCATGCATGCATACATACGTACATACGTATACATATATACATATACATATACATAAGCGCGTGTGCGGAGATGGCCACCCCCCAAGGCCCGGAGATCCTGGTTCGTGACCCCTAGAGCCAAGGGGCGCGTTGAGAAAGAGACTCGCGTTGTCCTTCAGGGTTTAGGGTCTAGGGTTTAGGTTAGGGTTCCCCAACCCCCCCCCCCCCCCCCAATAACAACTACAGGGGCCCAAAATTGGGCAATAAGGATCCTAGCTTCGGCTATGTGTTATAAGTAGAGTTACAGGGGGGCCTAAATTGGGTTAGAAGGACCCGAGCTTATGTTATATGTCTGTTAGCTATAGTTTGTGAGGTAAGGGGGGAACCCTCCATGTAGACTCAAGCGTAACCTCGGAATGACAAAGGGTACCCGTTTGTGGTTTTAAAGGGGCTGTTTAGGGGACACCTGAACCTTAAAAAGGGGACGAAGGGCCTAGTCTGGGTCGGTCTAGACCCCACCTGGGGAGTACCTCGGAGTTCGTGAACCTGCGCCCTAAACCATAAACCCTAAACCCTTCTTATGTATACATATATGTTGATTTATTAGAAAATGAACTGGTGGAGGTTTTAGGATGAAGGAAGTCGCAGCTTCTGTCCGGGACGAACAAAACCTATCAAGGTCTTGACAGCAACTACACAACTAGGAGGACTAGTAGGATGGGATGTTCTGCCCTACTTAAGACGCTCTTTTGACTTAGTAAGTCTACCTGGAATCACCCTAAGAGGATTAGGGTTCTAGCGCCCTTTTTGGGGTCCTTAAGGGTGGATTATGGGGGATGATCAGTCCTAATGGCACTTTCTGGTACCATGAGACCAAGGTACACTGAGCTGGGCTTCAGCGTTTGCAGGGAAGCTGGGATTGGGGTTTGGGGTTTGGGGTTTGGGGTTTAGGGTTTAGGGCTTGGGGTTGCAAGTTGCGCAAGTCTCCTCAAAGGAGACATCGACGACATCAAGCCAGAAGTCTGCCTAGCATGGCCCTTAAGACCCTCTGAAAAATATATTCCTAACTACATCCTCTTTAACACAATCAGGGGAAAACAAAAAATTCCCAACAGCCTACCCAGCTGCCAGTTGCGCAGACTTCCGGGACCCGCACGTTTGCCGGCGGCTCGATTGGAACCTGCAGTTGCGAGGGCTTCGACGCCGTGATGTTTAGGGTTTAGGGTCTACAAGGAGGGCCCCCCTAGTCGTAAGTAGAGATATAAGGACCCTAAATTGTGTTATAAGAACCCCAACTTAGGTTATGAGTCCCTTAACTATAACTAGCACAGTAAGGGGGGGCCCCTCCTTGTAGGGCTTGCTTAGACCCCACGGGTCATGCGGGACCCAAAGCCTGTAAAAGAAAAGAGCGAAGCATGCGAAAAGGAATCTGCGAACCTTCTCCCAAGCCTGTAAACCGGCCCCGCCCACCTTCCCTCTGAAACCTTTCAACCCTGAACCCTACAAAGGGTTTAGGGTTTAGGGTTTAGGGCTAAGAATAATGCAACACATGAGTACCCCAAGCCCGTGCAAGTAACCTATAGAAGGATAACTTATGGAATTATTTTGCCAGTTACTCCTGAATTTCTTTTCAGGGGGTATGCCAAAGGGGTATGTTGAATATTTCAACCCGAAACCCTAAACCCTAAACCCTAACGAAGAATAAATGCCCCCACAGAAGCCGCCCTACTGTGATCTGCGTCGAAGCAGATGGTGCCGTGTTGGTGCTGGCGGCCGTCAGCTCTCCGGAGACCTGTGAGGGTTCAGGGTTTAGGGTTGAGGGTTTAAGGCGTCAGGGTCACGTTCATTTGGCTGGCTTCGGGCTTCGTAATTTAGGGTGCCCCACCTGCACCTTCATCCCTCACGCCATGATACAGGGTTAAGGAGGGGGGGTTTTCATGGAGGGTAGGTGTGTAGGGAACCGCAGGGAAGAGGAGTCGTGGGGCCCTCAACCCTAAACTCACACCCTAAGCCCTAAACCCGCCTTGAAACCCCCTCTTAAGATCCCCATACATAGCGCGGGCTCTACCTGGCAAAGGCCTCCCCCGCCCCCAGGGACTGGAGCCAAGGGCACTAGGCTCCTAAGGTACATCCTGCAAACCCAGAACCCCCAAAAAGTAGGTATTGAGCTCTTATTCAGGTACAACCTGAACCCTTTTTTGGGGACAGGCTTGTAACACAAAACCCGAAACACTATACCCACTAAACCCTAAACCCTAAACACTGACTAAACCCTAAACCCTAAACCCTAAACCCAAAACCCTAAACCCTAAACCCCCCAAAAAACCCTGGCTTGCAATCCCCAGGGACCTCGCAGTCTATCTTTCGGCCGCTTCGGAGGAGCAGCTGCGATTGAACCTGTGGGTCGTCGGTTTAGGGTTTAGGGTTTAGGGTTTAGGGTTTAGGGTTTAGGGGAGGAGAGGGAGGGCGAGAAGATTTGCAGAAACTTAGGGGCTTAGAAGTTTGCCCCTGCTTCGGAGTAGACCGCGAAAAAAACATATACTTTGTAGGTATAAGTAGCTATCATTGGAACCAAGAACCAAAAATAGTATTAAAGTATAGTACTCCAAAACCCAGCTACAGTGTTTGTGTATGGTATCTACAGGCCCTTTTAGGCGGGGACACTCGTTGAAACCGAATGCTCAGCAGAATATATGAGAACCTAAACCCTAAACCCTAAACCCTAAACCCCCTCAAGGGCAGAAACGCTCATTCCGAGCACCTCGTAGCTGTGGCGCCCACGCATGCGCTGAATACCTCAGGGAGGCCAAGAGCCCTAGCACTTGTACCTTGAAGTCGGAGGTCGGACTCCTTTTGGGGGGTTTAGGGTTTAGGGTTTAGGGTTTAGGGTTTCGGGTTTAGGGCTTGTCTGGTAACGGCAAACAGCATGTGGCTTCTCATGACTCCGTCCTTGCGCCTGTGTAGTGCCGAAGGGTTTCAGGTTATCTGGCTATCTGGCATAGAGTAGCACATCTGGGAGGGCCCGGGGTATCAAAACTCAGGGCCTCACCTGGGGGTTCCCTCTATACGGGCTTTCGAAAATTGGGGTACATAACGGGACCCCGGCTGCGGGACATACACACCCTAAACCCTAAACCCTAAACCCGAAACCCTAAACGGCCCCAAGCCCTCAACCCATTTCAACCGCGGAGCTGGAGGTGTTCGACTCCTTGTGAACCTGCTCAGACACATTTGGCGCAGCGCCCGGAAGCTTCCGGATGCGGCCGCCCGCGATGGACCTGGCTCATGAGAGAGCCCCAAACTCTCCCTTAGAACTTTAATTAAACCATGTGTTTAGGGTTTAGGGTTTAGGGTTTAGGGTTTAGGGTTGTTTTACATATTCCCTTGGGTTGTTTAAAATACGTATAAAGCCAGCGGGCTATAGTTATGCTAGTTCGGGACCAAGGAGCTCATTTTGCGGCGCGCCGCGCAGCAAGAGCACGGGATCGAGAAACCAAGTGCCCTGGGGGTTGTTACCCCAAACCTGCAGAGCGCACGAGGGGTGATAGGGTTTAGGGCTTAACTACTTAACTACCCAAATTACACCTAAAGTTGAGAGAAACGAACTACCTTAGAACAAAAAAACAAAAACGAACAAAAGCCAACTAGGAACCGTAGGAGAAAAAGCCAAACAAGTCAAAAAGCAAAAACCAGTAGCAAGCCCCATGAGGGATAGCAAAGACCAAAGCAGTAAACAAAAACACCCTGAGAGAGAAAACGAAACAAAGCAAACGAACAGTAGAAACCCCAAGAAACGAACCCTAAACCCTAAACCCTGAACCCTAAACCCCTAACCCTAAACCCTAAACTTCAAGAGAGCCTGCACGGTGACGTTGTGCGCCGCCCCATCCAAAAGCCAGCCGGCAAAAGGCGTCAGATCGAAGTCGTAGGGCGGAATGTCGAAGGAAAGGATACCTTAGGTTTAGGGTTTAGGGTTTAGGGTTTAGGGTTCCTGGGTTTAGGGTTCAGGGTTCAGGATTCAGGGTTTAGGGTTTAGGGTGTCAACGGAAAGGATACCCTAGGTTTAGGGTTCAGGGTGTAGGGTTTAGGAATGTGCAGCACGAAAGTCTCCTGAAGACCTGGTGATACGCGTGATTAAGCCACCATGACTGCGAGAGTTTAGGGTTCAGGGTTTAGAGGATACCTCGCCCTAAACCCTAAACCCTAAACCCTAAACCCCTCGGCTCAGAGTTTAGGCCTGTGGCACTGTAGCAGCGCCCCTGTATGAATACAACTCATGAAACCCTAAACCCTAAACCCTAAACCCTAAACCCTAAACCCTAAACCCTAAACCCATCACGTTGCAGCACAAGGCGAAATATTACGATGCCCTCTACAGATCATTGACCATCAAGAAGCTAAACAAGCACTTTTGCATAGTATTGCCTTCCATTATGTTAAAATACTCTAGAGTATGCGACTACAGTGCAGCGCACCAGGCATCACTAGATGTTCTCTGGTTTCCCAAGAATGGGAGAGAAGGGTGCCGTTCTTTTGCGCTGATCTGAACCCAACAGTGCTACTGGGCATCCGAAGGCACACATATTCATATCATATATATATATATATACATTTACATACATATGTGTGTGTTATGTATATCTATATATGTATAGATCTGTGTAGATGCTTAATTAGAGAGAGAGAGAGAGAGAGGGAGAACGACAGCCAAACGACTAACTAGCGAAGAATGATAGTAGCAGCTACCACGACGTACAACCACATAAAGTGTGCTGTTCTTCGTGACATCCCATGAGAACCGCGAGCCTGTGAGAGGCCGCCAGAGCAGAGGGTTCACGCCTCCCGTGTAGATGACCGGGAAAGGCAGCACAGCTCCAGCCAAAACGCCGTCCTTGTCTCGTGCCCGGAACTAGTATTGCATAATATGGTAGGAAATACCACTCAGATAGTATGCGTAAGAGTGTTATGACATTTGCACCTGTAGTTTAAACTTCTCTACAGCTCCTAATCATATGGAAACATTATTACAAAAATGTCATGGCACGAAATATTCGTAGGAAAATTTGATGACCTCGCTTTGTAACTCTCATTAGATCTTCTACACAATCGTATGCTAAACTTCAAGTTCCCACATATAACATTCCTACAACTATCCTGAACCCATACGGTACACATACGATATATTCGTACCAAGATGAGAAAACAAAGAAAGACACTTTCTCAAGGAAGAGGAGCGCAAGCGCCTGTCAAAAAAAGATACGAGTTTGGGGGCTCGTGGCCTAAGAGCTTCGAGGGGCCAGTAGACGTGCATTTCCGCATTTCTCTCCCAAGCGGTTGGGGCTTTCATGCAGGATGTGTACAACGTAAGCGTGGGGTTCGCTCGAAGGCTTCTTGCGTTCATTACCACGTCCACAGAGCAACGGTGTGCACTTCAGGCAATGTCGAGCCATGCTGGACATACTTACACTTTGTCTTGGGTTCTTTGGCCCCAAACTCAAGCCCACACCTCAACTGAGTGATGCCGCATTCCAGTACGGCCTGGAAACGAAAACGTCGGAGGCAAACATGCTTCATTGTGCCAGGAAACGACGTAGACCAAAAGCCTGGATGTCTCTCTTGGCATGTGTGTATGGTTTGGAGGATCAGGCTTTTGGGAGCTTAGGGTGTATGTATCCTTGAGGGCTGACCTCGGGGTGTGGAGTTGTGCCAGAACTCTGAGGAAGCCATGGCTCTGTAGGTCAACACCCTAAACCCTAAACCCTAAACCCCCGAATCTAGGTCTTCTAGCGCTGTGGGGCTTGAAAGTTGAGGACTCTGAATAAGCTAGGGCTGTTAGGTATGTAGGTGTGTAGGGGAGCAAAACCGGTCTAGAAGCTCGCGATAGGCACCACCGCCGCATGTCCCAGCAGGCACATCGGGGCCCGGAACGTTGGTGTACCAAAACTCCTGTGCAAGAGTGGCACCCCCCCTCCCCTAGTTGCAAGTAGAGATATAGGGACCCGACAATTTGGGTGATAAGTATCCTAACTTAGGTTATAAGTCCCTTAACTACAGCTTGTATAGTAAGGGGGTCCCTGCTTGTAGGTTTTCGGGCAGCGGGAGAACCCGAAACGGCGAACTCACCTTAAACTCCGACCTGGAACCTGAAACCTCGAGCCTGAAAACCGGTACCTAAGTCCAAAGCCCTTTTCAACAGGGACTGCTTCATCCTCCTTGACCTTAATCCGAGCTTCTGTTTAATTGGGGCCCCCCCCCCCCCCCCCACAATGAGAAAGGCAGGGTTCCGCAATAGTTGGACCATGGCCCTGTATTGATTCTCTATTTAAAAACAATACGAATGCATTGAAAACAATAGGAAAAGCTTTCCGAAAGGCTGAGTTTCAAAATATTTGCAACCCCCAACAAAAATTCCCTTAAATGTGGGGGGTTTGTCCCATACGAAATCCAACCTAATGGAAAGTAGTCTTCCGGCGGGCTTCCGGCCAAAATAAAATTCTTTAAATGTGGGGGTATTAATTAAACTGATGCTCGGATTAGGGTGTAGGGTTTAGGGTTTAAGGTTTAGGGTCATCACCAGAACCTCAAAGTCAACGCTTGGGGCAGTTTCTAGCGCACCAGGGGCCCTAGTGGGCCCATGAAAACCCATATTGCCTACATGCGTAAGGGTATATGTAGGGTCCTAGAGGCTGATGCTTGTGTCCTCAGACGTAAGCCGCACCCTTAGGGGAAGAGGTCCTCGCAGCCATGCCCGGACGCGAACACGTGCAGGCGGATCTCGCTGACTTGCAAAGCGGGGTCCTTAGAAGAGTTGGCGCTCAGGGTTTAGGGTTTGTAGGGTTTAGGGTTTAGGGTTTAGGATTTAGGATTTAGGGTTTAGGGTTTAGGGTGCAAAAGTAGCTTGAGACCGCGAAGCACTGGTAAGTGTGCTTAGTTCTCCGGCGTGCGCTCTCTGCATCCGGTCCCCTGTTCGCAGCTCAACCCCTAAGGCTGTAAGACTCCGATTTTCGAGTTTAGGGTTTGGGGTTGGTTAAGGTTTAAGGTTTAAGGTTTAAGGTTTAGGGTTTAGGGTTTAGGGTTTAGGGTTTAGGGTTTAGGGTTTAGGGTTTAGGGTTTAGGGTTTAGGGTTTAGGGTTTAGGGTTTAGGGTTTAGGGTTTAGGGTTTGGGGTTTAGGGGGCTATGCTGAGCCTAAGGGAACACGAAGCATTCTCGACGAAGCCTCGCAAAGAAACGTCGAGTAGTGCTGGACCGAGTTGCTATCGTGACCATGCTCGTTTGCCCAGGCGCCCCTTCGTGTCAAGTTTCGTACTACGCCCAGCCCTTGCCGTTATGCCAACTTATGTTGCAAGATGTTCGTCCTCTGTACGCACCTCGCAGTATCACTCTTGTAGAATGCTGCCCGCGCCCGGCCTGAGTTCGCAAGCGCGTCCAGTGGGTCAGAGGCGTTGCTGACATCCTTCGCAGATGCCCAGCGCATCTCATTTGATCGAAGCCACGTTCTCATTCACCCTAAACCCTAAACCCTAAACCCTAAACCCTAAACCCTAAACCCTAAACCCTAAACCCTAAACCCTAAACCCTAAACCCTAATCTGGACTGCGGGAGCCAAACGTGTATCTCAGCTGAAACCCTAAACTTAGGCACACCCCTTCGGGGCTCGAAGGTGATTCTTGGAATTCTTCCAGGATGGGTCACGTTTAGGGTTTAGGGTTTAGGGTTTAGGGTTTAGGGTTTAGGGTTTAGGGTTTAGGGTTTAGGGTTTAGGGCACACAGATCTCCGTCCTGCAGCGGAAGGACCGTCCATGCATCCACTGACGCAGCAGCTACTTCATAGAAAGCGATGGAGATGTTGATGTGCAACCTTCATCCGACTCTCCGGCGCTCTCAGACCCCCAAGCCATAAATCTTCAAGGGCTTTCCAGTTGTTTCGTTCCTTAGACCCAAGAGCAACCTAGCCACCCTAAACCCTAAACCCTAAACCCTAAACCCTAAACCCTAAACAGCGTCCATAAGCTTGAGGTTGGAGCCCAGATCTTGTTGGGCTGGGCCCTAAAGGGGCCTTTTCCCCTAAACGCCCCCAAAAACCGGAGTCAAACGGATGGGCACATATGGGGTACGCGCTTTGCTTTTTGCTTCTTTGGGGGGGGGGGGGGGGGGGGGGGGGGGGGGGGGGGGGGAGGAATCGAATCTTCATCGGCGCGAGCCGACCTGTGAGGCGGCGGCAAAGAAAGGAATCAACAAGACGTCTGACGGGCAGCGCTCCGGTGTAGGTCGGATCGACGATGTTCGGGATCATCCTTGGACGAAAGAGTGGCAAACGAAGCTCGACGCGACTTGGTCAGTTCTCTAAATGCTTAAACTAGTTGAGGTGCCATCGGTGCCATATCTTGGACCTTCTATCTGCGTCAACTGGTGTCACCTTGTCGGAAGTTTCCTGGTTTGAGGACCTTGCCAAGCATCAGAATCATCTCACCGCCTGTGCGAAAGAGCTGCCTGGGTTGGCGTGGGGAGCGGGGGACTTTGCGTGCACTATTCTTCTGTGACATGCGCAGTCTTAATATGGTTATGTATGATTATGGCTGTGCACTGTCATTTTCTGAATGAGTATAAGATGCAGGACACCATCGCAACACTATGGCTTTTAGAAAAGGATCTGGGTATCGTTGACAGTCTCTCCCGTTCAGGATGGCAGCATTTGACCCTCACAAGACTACAAGCAAAAGCCACTCAAAAAATCGGGAAGCAGACATGAGACCCCTGTCTTTGACAAACTCTTGCAAGCAGAGCCCTGCCACATCTTACGAACTCCCCAATGCCTCCCCGAACCATACCAGTGCCCTAAACCCTAAACCCTGAACCCTAAACCTAAACCCTAAACCCTTAAACCCGAAACCCCTGCCAAGCATCTGGAAGTCGGTTATGTCCCGCTCCACATGCCAGGTGATGCCCGACAGGGAGGGCTCGGGGGTGGTTGTTCGCAGCAGCTCCTAGGCCCTAAACCCTAAACCCTATAGACCCTATAGACCCTAGACCCTACACCCTAAGCCCTGAACCCTAAACCCTAAACCCAAGAGTAAGGAAGCGCCTAGAAATCCTACTTGCAGGCTTACATGTCACAAGCCGATGGACCCGAAAACCTCTCTGCGCGGGCCAAACTGTCAAACTGCCCAGATCCGACTTAGGGCTTAGTGCTTTTTTCCCACCCGTTTCGCAAGCGTTTACGGGGAAAGGGTCTGCCTTACTAGAGCCAAAGTTCAGACGATCGTACAGGATGTTAGGTGGGCCTCAGGGGGCTATACAAACCTAATCACACAAGAGCCATAACTTCATTAACACAACAGACAGCTTAGGGTTTAGGGTATAGCGTTTAGGGCTTATTACATCAAAAGACATGGGCAGGGCACGACGCCGCGAAACCACACCGCGCCGAAGCGATCGAACTGAACACCCTTCACGCTGCCATCGAACCTGGCTTTGCTACTCAGGATTTAGGGATTAAGGTTTAGGGTTTAGGGATTATGGGGTTTGTTTTAAGGGTGTATTTAGGGTTTACATAAGGTTTTATATAGCATTTGTTTAGGGTTTAGGGATTATAGGGTTTATGTAGGGTCTACAGACGGCGTATATATGGCTTGTATAGCATTTGTTTAAGGTTTATAGGGTTTGCTGGTTTTATAACAAGTAGGTATACGAGGATGGACTAGGCGAGCCTGAAACCCCTGAAAAGGTCCTTGTTCGGGTTTATTTCATGTCCTAATAGCCCATCCTGGTATGGAGACTAGTACTGTGTGGATTACGTACTTATCATGTATACATATGTGTATTTATATATATAGATACACACTTATCATGTACATACATAGATACCTACTTATCATGTACATGTCCAACCTGAGTCGGTACAGCTACCGGCCCTGTCAAAAGATGGTGGGGGGGCAAGCTTGACATGGCGCGAGCCCACCATGAGCTAGATAGGACCGCAAATTGGGTTTCAGGATCCGATCTTCGGTTTTGCATCCCTTGACTAGAGTAAAGGGCCCCCTCCTGCAAACACGAACCCTGACCCGAAACCCTAAGGCCTAGACCCTTTTTGAGCCCAGGACTGCTGAGGCTCCGGCCTGAGATGCAAAGAAGCAAGCAAGACAAACCCTAAACCCTAAACCCTAAACCCTAAACCCTAAACCCTAAACCCTAAACCCCTCAAGTCCGAGGTCCTGGCAGCAGCACCACCTGTGACCAGCAGGTCTCGGAGAGACTGCGCGTGCCTTTGGCGCCAGGTGCAGGGGTGCTCGACTCATTGCTTGAGGACTTGTATGTATACTTGAATGCTTATACCTTTATATATTAATACAAAAACAAATGAAGAAAACATGAGTAGAACTATAAATATGTATATATATATATATACATATATATATACACACAATTTATGTGTATATACACATGTATATATGTATATACACATATGTATGTGTGTATGTATGTATGTCTGTATGTATGTATGTATGTATGTATGTATGTATGTATGTATGTATGTATGTATGTATGTATGTATGTATGTGTAACACAGCTAGATTCGCACCTGGCTCGCTGCGGAAGTAGTGGAATGATTACAGGGCATGAAAGGGAGCTCAACCCCCGCTGCTGTAGGCCGACTGGCTAAACCCTAAACCCTAAACCCTAAACAATGCTCATCTAAAGTGCCGTCCAGCTGCAGGGGCATGCGCTCTCGTCGTCTGGCGGCTCGAACCACGACCGAACAACCTGTCCTAAGTCGCACAGCTCCTGCTCGAAGTACAAGTGCTGGGCACTTACTGGGTAGGAAGCCCAGCCTTTAGGGCTTAGGGCTTAGGGCTTAGGGTTTAGGGTTTAGGGTTTAGTTGCAAGGAAGTTCAGAGTACCAATGAAGCTCGAAGCCTTTCGTGAGCATAGAGCGTCCCGGGCGTTGTCTCTTCAGCACCTACAAGGAGGGCCCCCCCTTTACCATACTAACTATAGTTAAGGGACCTATATAACCTCAGCCTAATTTAGGGTCCTCAACTCTACTTCCAGCTAGGGGGCCCTCTTTGTAAGCTCCAGGCACTCACCAGCGGTGTTTGCCTCAAGGAGCTGCAGGTGCATCGCGGACAAGTGCAGGCAAGAGTCCGTAGCCTGAAGGACACCGCAGCTTTAGATGGAAGCAGACACGTTCAAAGGACATAGGGTTTAGGGTTTAGGGCTTCAACAAGATGTGGGGCAGAATGCTTACAGGACACGGGCTTCGCCAAGGTGTAGGCAGAAATGCTTAAAGAACATGGGTTCGCAAAGATGTAGGCAGACATTTTTGAAGGACGTGAGCTTCACACAAGCGACCTTGCAGGGTATATGAGTACGTACTTCAGGGCCTTTGGGGAGGCAAGTGTAGCACCTTACACACTCCGGTGTGCTATACAAGAAATTCATCACACACACAAGCACCACGCACCAAAACATCTCCACAGACGGACAAAGAAACGCGAACCTGCATCTCGCGGCAGATGCCTAAGGGTTCGGGGTTTTAGGGCTCTGAAGATTTAGGACATTTAGGGTTTTTAGGAGGGGCACGCCCGGGAGCACACAGCTCCGCCGTGAACCTTAAATGCATGCTAAATGCCTGCAGACTTCTTGTCGCTCCAGGACACTCTGACGTCCCCTGAACCCTAAACCCCAAACCCGAAACCCTAAAAACCCTGCTAAGGACCAGCAAGCAAGCCTAGAAGCCCTCCCCTCGCTAACCCTAAACCCTAAACCCTAAACCCTAAACCCTAAACCCTAAACCCTAAACCCTAAACCCTAAACCCTAAACCCTGAGTGACCGGTATGCCTGTGAGGTTTGCCCCAAGCACTGCAGGGAGCAGGGCACAGGGCTTTGAGCTGCCTGCCGTTGTGAAGGGGTTTAGGGTTTAGGGTTTAGGGTTTAGGGTTTAGGGTTTAGGGTTTAGGGTTTAGGATTTAAGGCTAGAGCAAATGGTAGGAAAGCGTCGGAAATGGGTTCTGAGGGGTAGGGTTTATAGGGTTTGCGGCGTTTATAGATAGGGCTTAAATTATAGGGGTTCTGGGATTTATACGGCTTAATTCTTCCTAACAGCCCCAAAGAAGCTACAACCTTAAAGGCCTAAACCCGAAAAGCCCTTATGGTCTCTCAATCATGGCGATGAATCTTGGCTCCGGGGTTTACAAAGTACCTACTTGCAGGTTCATGGGTAGTTACTAGACAGTAACCTAGGCTTAAAAAGGGTGCCCTTTTTTTTTTCTTAAAGGGGTTTATAAGGGAACCTAAACCCCCCAAAAAGGGAATACGGGTACTACTGGGCATCCTAGGTTATACCTGGGGTTCGATGATAAGCGGGCGCCTTGGCTTGACTGACTTCTGAACCCCTCCTAAAAGTTTACCTAAAAGGTTTAGGGTTTAGGGTTTAGGGTTTAGGGTTTAGGGTTTAGGGTTTAGGGTTTAGTTTACCTTTTAGGCTCGCGGCTCCTTATTGTGGTTTCTACAGAAACCAAAAAGACTCAAGTCCGAAGAGCCAGCCAGAAGAAAGCCGAGTGGAAGTAGATCTGCCTGTCAGCTTCTTTGGGGCACTTCGAACCACACTCAGAACTACCCAGAAACCTTCATGTAGAACCACGTGTCCTCTATACTTGAAGAAACAAGCACAACGTAGTGTACAGGTGAAACCCAACAAAAAAAACTATGTAAGCCTTAACCCTGTTGAAACTCCCTAAACCACCGAAAACCCTAAACCCTAAGCCCTGTTTAAACTCCCTAAACCCCAGACACTTTTGGTTCAAGAATATCACCAAATTTACGAACAAATCCAAGGCGTCCTCCCGGCCTCTGGGATGCGGTAGAGGCGGCTCGGCTGTTTGGGGGTCCTTCAAGGATGCAGCCCTAAAGGGTTTAGGGTTTAGGGTTTAGGGTTTAGGGTTTAGGGTTTAGGGTAAAACCTAAACCCTATTTTTGCTTCAGGGCTCCGGAACCCTAAACCCTACTGTAAACCCTAAATCCTAATGGATGTTTAGGGTTTCTAAGACTTAGGGTTCCAAACTCGAGCAGAACTTCAGTTTCAGTTTGGAGTTTGAGGCGTGGGTCTATTGTAATACTAAGTGCTGCTTAGCCTCATATTTTGTGACGTTCCCCCTTACACTAACAGTCCGTAATTAAGAGGGCTTATTAGGGTACTATCTATTCCCTATTCAGGACTGTTAGTATAAAGGGGGAACATCCCAAGGTATGTTCATTAGGACCCGGGGCGTCCTATGCTTGTGACTTGTTTTCATGTGATGTGTTTCGAATCAAAAGCTGTTTGCAATTCTGGGCTCAGGCGGCAGTCTAATTCCGAAATTCGGGGATGATGAGGGAATCCTACTAAGATTTGGGGATCGAGGAGCCCCTATTTCGTAAACCCCCATATTGCACTGCTGTCACATGTTCGGGTGCAAAAAATGTCCTGGTACGCAGGAAAGGTGACCTCAGCTGGTCGGTTGTGCAAACTCTGCACAGGTTCAGGCTTGAACAGGGCTTTCGTGGAGAGCAAGCAGGAAAGCCATGTAGCCACACCAACCGGGCCAAGCTATCATTTGCTTAAGAACCCCCCCCCCCCCCCGCCCAAACAAAAAAAATCTCCCTTATCAGGGCGATTGGGGAGGGGTGGGGCGGGGGGGGGGGCGGGTGGTGTTCTTAAGCAAATCGTAGCAAAGGCACTCCAATCGCATCCAGCCGGCCGATCAGCGCCATAGCAGACAGCAACGCGGTGCGAAGCGCCATGGCGTGAAACTGCCCCGTCATGTCAAACCGTTCAAGGGGTCCTTAACCCCTAAACCCTAAACCCCACAACCCTAAAACCTTTTGCCGGACTGGCGTGTCGATTCTGTAGTCCCTGTTAGCCCAGCAACCATATTGTGGGGTTGGATACTTTACTGTAAGGGAACACAGAACCCAAAACAGGCTTCAGGGTACCCCTGGGCTACCAGACTCTGGTGCATTCTGGGCTCGGATGGTTTGGCTGTGCGTGCTGTCACAAAGCAGCTTCGTTCACTCGATTTCCGGCGCCCGCATGGAAATGGACATGCGCGCTGGGGCCAAGTCTACACTGAATTCGCAGAAATGAAGAAGTGCCCCCGTGTGCGAAGACATATGCGTGACTTTATGCCTATGTGTACCTCCGTGAGCATTGTCCTTATAGGACAACGGCACATGCAGTTTCCTCCCTCTGCCGCAGTCTCATTCCGCAAGAAGAAGGTGCTCAGATCCTCCGACACCTCCTGCACCGCTCAGGTATATGGAGTCTTACAGAATAAGGGGTACCCTTTTGGGGTCCGGTATGCAAGGGATCCTACTAATATGAGGGCTATATTAGGGTCCCTTATTGGCGTAAACCCCCCCCATATATGCTCAGGTCTATGACAATCTCAACTTCTGGACCGTGCACCGGCCGCTACATTTAGCCACCCGTGTACTTCGCGTGGGCACCTTCCTGACACGCTGCTTGGACACGACTTCGTGCTCTGGCAATGACTGCCAAAGCCCCCCAGTGGAGAGCTTCCTTCGATTAACTATTCCCCTAAACCCTAAAGCCTAACTTCAAGCAAGCAGTTGGCCCTGGAGCAAAGGCACCAGCAGCGTCCCTCAATCTCAACCCTGAACTTCCTACATTTATGCAAGCCAAACCCTAGAAACCATGTAGGGTTTAGGGTTTAGGGCTTAGGGCTTAGGGTTTAGGGTATCTATACTACTGGCTTAAGGAACCTTAAAAAACACAAAATATTCATCCCTATATTGCCCTTATAAGAAAAATATGTTTTCCTTTTTGGGTTTCTCAAGCAATTAGTAGCTATAAACCTTTTTTGAACCCAGACTCTTGAAGTCAGCTGCGGAAAGGTCTTCGGCACCCCTACATACACCCCAAACCCTATGAACCCCAAACCCTGTAAACCCCACACCGCAAGCCCCAAACCCCAACCCCATACCCTCAATCCAAAGCTGCCCAAACCCTGAACCCCAAATCCCTAGACCCCGAAACCCAAAAATCCTGTAAACCCTAAAACCTTACACTGCCCCTAAAACCCCAAACTGCCCCTAAACCCTAAACCCTAAACCCCAAACCCTAAACCCTAAATCCCAAACCCTAAACCCCAAACCCCAAAACCCTAAACCCTAACGAAGTCGGGCGCCTCGAGGGACCGACTCGTGACCTCGCCCCGCGCGCCGCGCCCGCGCGGGCGCTGGCTCCGAATCTCGCGCCTCACCGGTTTGCGATGACAGGGCCTACAGGTTTGAATTTTAGACTTAGGGTTTGCAGGGTTTATAGGGTTTATAGGGTTTATAGGGTTTACAGGGTTTATAGGGTTTACAGGGTTGAAGGTTTAGGGCTTAAGGCCTATAAGGGTTTATAGGGTTTAAGGTTTTGGGGTTTAAGGCCTATAAGGGTTTATAGGGTTTACAGGGTTTAAGGGCTAAGGTTTAGGGCTTAGGGTCTAAGGCTTAGGGTTTAGGGTGTAGGGTTTGCCAAACCCGAAGCTTCCCAAATTCAAGAACTCCTTAATTAGCACCCTGCAACCTTACAGGAAACTCCCAAAAAATTGGAACATCTTTGTGCCCATACCCCAGCAGCTACACTGAAGGGAATCCCGCCTCTAATCATCCTGAAGACCCCTAAACCCTAAACCCTAAACCCTAAACCCTAAACCATAAACCCTAAACCCTAAACCCTGTTCCAACTTTCTGGAGTTTGCTGTAAACCCTGGGGAGCCCAGGTGCTGCAGCCACCGGGAAAGCTGTTGCGGAGGGCCTCGGTGTTTAGGGTTTAGGGCTTTAGGCTTTAGGGCTTAGGGGCAATTTGGGGGTTTAGGGTTTAGGGTTTAGGGCTTTAGGGCTTAGGGCTTTAGGGCTTTAGGGCTTCAGGGTTTAGGGTTTTAGGGTTTAGGTTTTTTTGCCACCCGCCTAGCAGTTTAGGGTTTTAGGGCGTAGGGTTGGTTTAAGGGCTGTTGGGAAGCCCAAAACCCCCAAACCCTGGACCTTTAAAGTGCTTAAGTCCCAGAGGCTCTCCCCCGCGAAGCGGCCGTCCAAAAGCAGTAGGCAGCCATAGTCGGCCTGCCGCCACAAGGAATGAAAGACTTCGGGGTTTTCTATGGCTTGGGTTTAGGTGTTAAGTTTTAGGTTTTGGGTTTTAGGGTTTAGAGTTTAGGGATGCTTAGGGTCTGGGCATAGGACAGAAGTGTCTCAAGGGATTCTATGAAGGGAAGGGTTAGGGTTCGGATTTGGGTTGGGGTTAGGTATTACCGTGTTTTTGGTTTGGCGGGGGAGGGGGATAATGGCCGAGAAACTAGGGTTTAGCATCGAGATTTGTAGCCTTGCATTCCCCAAGCCCCTAGCCAGTTTCTTCAAGGAGGGGCCGCCTTACTATACTAAGTATAGTTCAGGGACTTTCAACCTAAGTTAGGATCCTTACTACCCAGTTTAGGGTCCTTGCAAGGGGGGGCGGGGGGGGGGGGGGGGGGGGGGGGGGGGCGGGCTCCTTGTAGGTGTCCAAAGGTTCAGTGCTTCGGGTTTAGGGAACCATCGAGCCAAGCCCTATACCCTGAACTCCCAACTCTGAGCGGCCCCCCCCTTACAACTCTAGTTATAACTAGGGTTTAGGGTTTATAGGGTTTAGGGTTTAGGGTTCAGGGTTCAGGGTTTAGGGTTTAGGGTTTAGGGTTTAGGGTTTAGGGTTTAGGGACTGGCTAACAAAGAGAGGCTGCCTGATGCCGCAGCAGACGGCCAGCAGCTTGCGACACCTGGGCGGCAACAAGGGCCAGGATTAGTGTGCATAGATCTTGGGTTTAGGGTTTAGGGTTTAGGGTTTAGGGTTTAGGGTTTAGGGTTTAGGGTTTAGGGAAAAAGGGCGTCACCCCTTCTTTCGGCTTTCCGGTTTAGGGTCCCACAACTTTTGGGGGGGCAATTCTAGTCCAAACCCTAGGGTGGACTCCTCATGCTCTAGGGTAGCCGAAAAAAAGAGGGTTTAGGGTTTAGGGTTTAATTAGGGTTTGGGGTTTAGGGTTTAGGGTTTGCTACGCTACCCTAATTGCATGTATGGCCGCATTGGGAACCCAAGAGGCAACCGCAACTCAGAACAGCCACCAACAAATGGGTAGTTCTCTAAAGTAGGGGCGCCGTTGGGGGTCCTTCTATAAGGTGCCATACTATCTATACAGGGACCGTAAAAAGGAAAACCGAATTTAGAAAACTACTCACATAGTTCCCCTTTCAATACTTATCTCTGCCCAGAGGCTGATCGGTACGCCTCGGCTTGGTACCAGGCGTCTTTGTTTTCCCTCTCGTGCTCCTCTGGGTGGCCATGTACCATCTTTTATAGAGTTCTTTAGGGTTGGGGTTCAAGGCGGGTATGTAACCCAAGGTTCCCTAACACTCCCTTCTATTCCTTAAGGCTCCCTAAGCTTCCCTACCCCCCATGAACCCTCCTCCCTCAACAACCCTATAAATCTTGATTGTTTTTATTGTTTTAAAGAGGGTTAGGGCCTTAAAGCTTAATTACTCGGTAGCCCAGTAACCATATTATAAGAAGAGCACCAATTTGGGGGTTGGTTACTTCATAAGGGGGCCCAGAACCAAAAAAAAACGGGTAAAGGGCACCACTGAGCTACCAAGCTTATAGAGCTTGTAGGTAGATGAACTGTGGATCGAACGCGTCACATAACCTACTTGTCCAGTCCCAGAGTGCAGCAAAAAGTTGACTCTTGGCAACGTATCAGCCTACCACTACGATATCAGAGGGGAAGCCTGCAATTTTCCTTTCGGTGGGTTTCCTGAAGCCCGAACGCCTAAACCCCCCCAAACCCCCTAAACCCCCCGGAGCCCCTTTGAACCCCCTAAACCCTCAAACCCTGAACCCTCAACCCCAACCCCTAAAAGCTAAACCCTAATCCCGAAACTCCCTAGACCCTAAACCCAAAACCCTAAATCCCCAATTAAACCCTAAATTTCTTAAAGCCAAACAAGACAAAAAATGACACCACTGGGCTTCCGAGATGCCATTTTCAGCTGCACTTCGGTCTCCAAGCTGGGGAAGGGCACCCCCACGACCTGGTTGAGGGTTGGGGTTTAGGGTTTAGGGTTTAGGGTTTAGGGTTTAGGGTTTAGGGTTTAGGGTTTAGGGTTTAGGGTTTAGGGTTTAGGGTTTAGGGTTTAGGGTTTAGGGTTTAGGGTTTAGGTTCGCTAGGGTTTAGGGGTTTAGGGGTTTAGGGTTTCGGGCTCGGCCACGACTTGAAGAAAGTGAGTTGGGAGCTCCTACACAAGGGAAGAAAGGTTGCCATTTTGGGAATGAATGCTCATAAAACCCAAAACCCAAAACCCTAAACCCGGACAGTGGTCCCCTACCGTGTGCACTGCCTACGGTCCTCACTGCAGCTTCGGCGCTACAACTGCTCTCGCAGCTTCGTCCTCGGGGTACAAGGAGGGCATCCCAAACCGAAGCCCTAAAGCCTCAGAGTGACCAAGAGAAGACATGGCAGCTTATGTTCGTAAGAGCTGGATGGAAAAACGAAGGCGCAGAAGAATGTTAGCCCTGTGTAGTTCGGGAAACCGACACACAGACAGCTCTCAAACCCAAGCCCCAAGCCCCAAGCCCCAAGCCCCAAGCCCCAAGCCCTAAGCCCTAAACCCTAAACCCAAAACCCTAACCCTAAAACCCTAAACCCTAAACCCTAAACCCTGAACCCTAAACCCTAAACCCTAAACCCACCCCCTCTAACCCTAAACACTACAGAGCCGCCCCCCCCCCGGGCTCCTTGAAGTCAGCGCCCTCGGCGCAGCGGCCGCGCATCACGGCCAGCAGGGCTGCTCCAGGGGGCTGCCGGGCTGCCATCCTTCGTTTAGGGTTTAGGGGCTTAGGGTTTAGGGCTTTGGTATTTAGGGTTTTGGGTTTTAGGGCTTAGGATACGATTACAATTCACAGGAAGATTGCTAGGGGGGGTGTCTATTTCTATCATTCCCTGACACACAGCCCTTATACAATCCTACCAAAACCAAATAAGGAACTAGAAACTCTATATCTATATGAAGTGAGGTTATGTGAGGTTTATATTACGTGTATCCCCAAAAAGACATCCAATATATACACTCACAAATATTAGAAAGACACCTTATATACACTCACCAATAACAGCTAATATCTGCCCTGCTTCATATACATCTCACCCCAAACCCTAAACCCTAACCCCTAAACCCTAAACCCTAACCCTAACCCCTAAACCCTAAACCCTAATCCCTAAACCCTAAACCCTAAACCCTAAACCCTAAACCCTAAACCCAGACCATCATAAAGACCCCACTTCGAAAAAGTTGGCCGGGATGCCGGTACTGCACCACCAGTTCGGCAGATGCCTCCGGGGACCGAAGAGAACCCCAAAATAAAAGGGTTTAGGGTTTAGGGCTAGGGTTTAGGGCTAGGGCTTAGGGCTTAGGGCTTAGGGCTTAGGGCTTAGGGCTTAGGGCTTAGGGCTTAGGGCTTAGGGCTTAGGGCTTAGGGCTTAGGGTTTAGGGTTTAGGGTTTAGGGTTTAGGGCTTAGGGTTATGGCTGAATTCAGATAGGGACTATCGTAGTCAGGTAGATGACCCCAATTTGAGGGCTCATTTTTTGGTCCCCAAACCCTAAACCCTAAACCCTAAACCCTAAACCCTAAACCCTAAACCAAAAACCCTAAACCCTTAACCCTAAACCCTAAACCCTCCCCAAGGTGCTTCGCTGCTGAGTCCAGAGGTCTCCACCATCGCGGGGATGCCGCAAAGAAACCTTGCTGGGTTTGGGGTTTGGGGTTTGGGGTTTAGGGTTTACGGTTAGTTGCTGAATCATAAGCCCCCCCAAAAAAAGTGTACACTTTCAGTTCTACAGGGGTTTATCGTATCCCAAAAAGTGTAAAGTGTGCTTATGCAGCTACTAAGGCTGGGTTTGGGTCTTTCTTTGTGCGGTATAGGGTTCGGGTTAGAGGGGCGGTTGTCAAAATGATGATGGTCCCTTTTGGGGTCCCTAATCTCGTACGGCACCTATTTCTTAGGGCACCCCCCAAAAAGGGACCAGCCACCCCTATAGGGTTCAGGGCTTTTGGCTTTTTTGTTGTTTTTGTTTTTGTTGGGGGGGGGGGGGGTTCTTAAGCAACTCGTAGGAAATGAGGATACTGCAAAGGAGCTCGGCGCCACCCTTGCGGCGATCCAGCAGGCCGCGGCGGCGCCAGTGGCGCACGGCATCCTGCTCAACAGGCTTGTGGACGCTTGGTGCCCGGACCCTAAACCCTAAACCCTAAACCCTAAACCCTAAACCCTAGACCCTAGACCCTAGACCCTATAGACCCTAAACCCAAAACCCCAAACCCTGCGCAAGGCAATCTTCCATGATTGGGAAACCCGAAGCTGCAAGGGCATATGCAGGACTGGGTTTAGGGTCTAGGGTATAGGGTATAAGGTTTAGGGTTTAGGGTTGGAGGTTGAGGGTTTAGGGATTGAGGGGGGGCGGGAATGGGGGCTTGAGACTCCTGCAGCTGCTCATGCGAAGGGAAGAAGAAAAGCTTTCCATTCGGCACGGCCTTGGGTCCAGAGCTGAGACAAACTTGGGTGTAGGGTTTGGGGTTTGGGGTTGAGGGGTTTGGGGGTTGAGGGGTTTAGGGTTTGGGGTTTGGGGTTTGGGGTGTAGGGGTTTAGGGGTTTACGGGTTTAGGAGTTTAGGGGTGTAGGGGTTTCGGGGTTTAGGGGTTTAGGGGAGGGCTGTGAGAACTGAACAGGCTTTGGCCCTGACTTGGCAGATATTGTGCACGGCTCATGTGTTGCCAGAGGGCCTGAAGAGTTTTGCTGCAATAATAGTAGGAAGTTGGGATGCTCGCCCTTATACTAACGGCCCTGAAAAGGGATTGTAGTACCTCCATTATCATCCCTAGTAAGGACTGCTAGTATAAGGGGGGAACATCCCAAGGAAAGCATCGGCCACCCAAGTCGTTTGGGGTTTAGGGTTTAGGGTTCTTTCGTGCCGACTTGCCGGGAGGAGTGCGTGCAGCACTGTCCCGATGCCGTCCAGGTACTTGTCCTGTTCCCACGCTTCGGGGGTTTAGGGTTTAGGGTTTATGGTTAAGGGTTTAGGGTGTAGGGTTTAGGGTTAAGGGTTAAGGGTTTAGGGGGTTGGCAAGACACCCTGGTCAGGGGATGGCCGCCAACTTGCCACAGTACTCCATGGCTTGTACGGAACTGCATGTGGGCAACTTGGTTAAGGGACATATCACCAAAGATAGGATCCTTAAAACCCAAATTAGGGTATGACTCTACCTATAACCCTAAACCCTAAACCCTAAACCCAAAACCCTAAACCCTAAACCCTAAACCCTAGCAGGGCAAGCACAAGTAGAGTCCAGCTGCTGCGCGCGGAAGCTGCGCGTAGAGCAAAGCCTTCCGGAGGCGTGATCCTATTCGAAGGTCGCCCTAGCACCCTAAGGGTCCATGCACTGGTTTAGGGTTTAGGGTTTAGGGTTTAGGGATAGGGTTCATGTACCTGATTGTTCTATACTTGGGCCCCAAAGTACAAGGACCCATAGGGGCACTGCAACTGGTAGAGGAGAGTCGCTACCGGCCTGCGTCAGAGAAATGTGCAAACGTGCAAAATGTGGGCTCCCTTTTGTGCTCATCATCCATCGGGCTGAGCTAGATATTCAGGCTCGTGCGGCTCACAAATACAGAGCACCACCGGAGATGTTGCATTGTAAGCATTGTAAGCGGGGAGCATGGTTTGCATCTCAACGTGAGAACACAGAGCATTTGCGTAAATTTCATGCACCTGCTGCAAAGCTCTGTTTTGACTTAGTAAGTCTACATAGTATCCCCTAAGAAGCCCTATTGCAGTCCCCATAACCCCTACTACGTCAAAAAGGGCTTCCACGAGGTCTGCGAACTCTGCCCGGGCACAGATTCGCGCGAACCAGAAGCCCAGAGATAGACCCAGGGTTTAGTTTCCAATCGTAGACCTGGAGCCCTAAACCCTTATAAGCCCTAGGCCCAAGCCCCTAAACCAACTATAGCAAGCTGCTGGACGTTGAGCGCTGGATCACAAGAGGCCGGCGCTGTCCCACCGGCACGCCAGCCCAGCTTCCATTAAGGTTTAGGGTTTAGGGTTTAGGGTTAGGGTTTAGGGAATGATATCGCTTCAAAAAACTCAAATATCACTCTCGTCACTAGTTTCTCGTCCCTAGTCAGTATGACCTAACTTGCTTCGCACGCACGAATATAGATAGAGATACAGTAGATAGATCTTTTGAGTATTCCTTGGGTGCCATCTAACTCTATGGGAACCCGAAGCCGCAAAACCCAACCCCCCAAACCCCAAACCCCAAACACTAAACTGCCCTAAACCCTAAACCCTAAACCCGAAACCCCAAAACGGACCTCTGCCCATCCACAGAGCCCAAGGCCAGTATCCGGAGGCGGCTGCCAATGCCTTCCGACCTTTGCAGGATGCCATGCCATATAGGGTTTAGGGTTTAGGGTTTAGGCTTACTGAACAGATGTCCACCGTGGCGGCCGCAGGGCCCTGAACCGAAATCAGAAAGAAAAACAAAAAGACCCTAAACCCTAAACCCTAAACCCTAAACCCTAAACCCTAAACCCTAAACCCTAAACCCTAAGCCCTAAGCCCTATGCTCAAGATCACTGTAAAAGAGCGCTTCAACCCTCAGCCAGGGGCAGGGGAAGCATGACACGCTAGTATCGTAGGGTTGTCACATATCGTCACCTAGCTATTTACTGTCCTTCCCCACGTGGGATGTTGCCTCTTAGTGAGATGTGGCAACTGGTCTGTTCTCTTGCTATTGTTTAAGGTTTGCGGTGTTAGGCGGTACAAGGAGGGTCCCTTAGTAGCAGAACTACTAAGCACCCTAAATTGGGTTATAAGGATCCTAACTTAGGCTATACCTCGCTGAACTATGGTTTGTAGAGTAAGGGGGCCTCTCCTTGTATTTCTGGACAGACAGGCACGACGAACCGCCCAGTTTTCACTACGTATGCATCTAAGGCCATTGGGCTTGTTGGCTTTCGCCTCTCAAAAGGCTTAGAGGTGAAAACCTAAACCCTAAACCCTAAACCCTCAACCCCAAACCCTAAACCTGGGGGAGGGCTTGGGGATGGGGGGAGGGGTGGAGGTTCGGCAGGGTGTGCAGAAAACAAACAATCGCCGTTTCGAAATGAAAGAGGACTCCAGGGAAGGGCGGAAGGGGGTTTAGGGTTTAGGGTTTAGGGTTTAGGGTTTAGGGTTTAGGGTTTAGGGCTCAGTTCACAGCTGGTCTGCCGAGGGTCTGTCCGACCTCCGTAGTGACCGGTGATCTGGCGAAGAGAGCGCTGCCGCGGCCTTCAGAAAGGAACTCGGATGAGCCACCCTAAACCATAAACCCAAAGCGACCAGGGTTTAGGGTTTAGGGTTTAGGGTTAAGCGACAAAGATAGTGACACCAGGGTTTCTGGGGTCTCGGGTTTTAGGGTCTAAGGTTTTAGGGTTTTGGGATCTAGGGTTCCGACCAATAGTGCACCCTGCTCTCAGAAAACTGAACACGATGCCTGAGTCCAGCTGTCGCCTTGTGGGTTCCACACCTCAACCATTCCTGCGCATGCAAGTTCGTACGAGCTTGAGCATCTCGAAAACCTTAAGCTGGTTTTGAACCAAGACCCTTTTTGCATCCGGGCTATGATGTCCTGGCCGGACCCAGAACCAAAACCTAAACCCTAAACCCTAAACCCTAAACCCTAAACCCTAAACCCTAAACCCTAAAACCTAAACCCTAAACCCTAAACAAACACTCTGACCTTCAACACCGACACTAAAAAGTCCCCGCTTCGGCCTCGAGGTCCCCAATCCAGATTTCATCAAACTCAAAGCGCGGTGTAGGGTTTAGGGTTTAGGGTTTAGGGTTGAGGGTTTAGGGTTTAGGGAGGCAAGCAACTTGTTGGGCGCTCCGTGGGACAAGGAGCGACAGCACGCCAGCACACATAGCTGGCGGATTCCTTAATAGCAAGCCCTGGAAACCCTCAACCAGCAAGTAGCCAGAAACCCTAAACCCTAAACCCTAAACACTAAACCCTAAACCCTAAACTCTAAACCACTTGAGGTCTCTACCCCGCGCGCAAGAAACGGGATGCGAAAGGGCCATTTTGCACTGCCTTGCAACAGCTCATGGTTGGCAGAGGTAAGGTTGCAACCTTAGGTTAGCATCAACCACTGCGCAGGAGCATGACGAACTCTTCAAAGTCAATTTCCCCCTCGTCAGATTTCTCGAGTAGGTCGAGATTGTGTAGTAACTTGCCATCCTTGGAGGGGTTTCCGAAATTAGGGGGTACCTTATTGGGGTCTCCTAAATAACCCTAAACCCTAAACCCTTTTTGCATCCGGGCTTGGGGAGTCGGCCGGGAATGATTGACTAAACCCTAAACCCTAAACCCCCCTCCTTGTTCTCAATGACATGCTCCATCTCCTTGCGACTCACTGTGCCGTCCCCATCTATGTCGAAACCGCGAAAGGCTGCCAGTGCCAGGTCTTTCCTCGGTTGGCTAGGGTTTGGGGTTTATGGTGCACTCCTACATGCTGATCCTTGTCAACCCAATAAGGGCAAATAGACAAAATCTCCCAAGGGCCCACCGAACTTCCTGTCTTCAATGTTGTGGTCCATGATGGCGGCCAAGAACTCGGTGTAGGCAATGGTGCCTTTGCACTCGGCGTCGAGCACGCGAACCGCGTCGGCAACCCATTGGTGCCCAGAAGTCGGCGAGGCCGGTGCGAATGTCAGATATTCCATGAGCTCGCTCAATGGGACTTCGCCTTTGTTCTGCACATCGACCTTGTGGAAGATCCGCCGCAGCTCCTCTTAGCAGCCCAGTAACCATATTATAATAAGGGCGCCCTTTTTTTTGGCTATACTTTATAAAGGGAGCCCAAAACCCCCCCCCCCCAAAAAAAAGGTAAAGGCAGGGTAAAGGGTACCAGTGGGCTACCAAGTCCTCATGCTCGTAGGAGCCCAGGTTGCGCGCAGCTGCTAAGAGGGCCGCCCTCTTGAATTTGGACAGCCGGGCGAAAGCGCGCAGCTTGGACGCGATTGTGGAGCTGGAGTGTGGGGTTGGGCCGCAAGTTGGGCCTGGGGGGTAGCCATCACTAAACCAAGCATGGCGCAGAAGCCTCTCCGCAGCAGGTCTCCTCCGAAAGTCCACCTGCAAGCACTGCCTGATAGGGCACCAAAAGCGCACATAAGCAAAAAATAGGATAGGGATATCCCCACATAAACCCCCTTATAATGAAGCCCAAAAAGGTAGGGATCTCCCTAGAAAACGCTTATGTTTATATCCTTTTTGGGTCCCGAACCTGACAAAGTCTTCCGACGATTCCGAAAACTGCGCACACCCTCGCTGCAAGGGGGGCAACGGCAGGTCTTCTGCCACGAGCGCGCTCACATCTTCAATGCTGTAAGGGTGCTCTCCATGCCTATACTCCCCTTAGAACCTGAATAAAAACAATATTGTTTATACCCTCTTGGGTTTTTATATAAACAAAAATATAGAAAATAATTCCCAAGGGGGAGATAGATGCAGGAGGGTGTAGATGCACACGCCCAGCGACCAGACGTCGCAGCGAAGGTCGTAAAAGTCGGGAAACTTGCTGCTGGCTTTCTTTGTACTCGTACCAGTATCCTATACTGAAAACTCGGAACCCCAGCACAAAAAAGGAAAAAAACAAAAAAAAGTACCCAAAACATTGAAAAAAGCTACTTCCAAGTACCCCTAAGTCTCTGCCTCCGGCTCAGCTTGCTTGAGCTTCCTGTGCAGCATGTTTACAACTTCCGGTGCCATGTATTGCGGTGTTCCTGCAACAGATTGAATTCCTTACTTCTCCAAACAGTCAGAGAAAAAATGCTAGACTTTCTGCTACGAACGAAGGAAACCCCATAAAAGGCTTAAAGGGTTCAAACTGTTGGTCCTTGTTCTAACTCAGGAAACCTCAGAAAAGCTCAAAAGTTCAAATATTATTTGCCTGCGTAGCGTGCTTAATAACTCCCACTAAATAAGGAAACCCCCAGCAAAGCTTAAAGGTTATACCATTGGCGAAGTCAGATTCTCACCAGGGATGCGTTGGGCAAGCGCCTGACACCTTAGCAGGCCAGTAACCATACGAAAATCAGGGCACCCTTTTTCTTGCTTGTTTTAAGGGAACCCAGATCCCAAAAAAAAAGGGTAAAGGGTACCACTGGGCTACCCCTAAACCCTAAACCCTAAACCCTAAACCCTAAACCCTAAACCCTAAACCCTAAACCCTAAAACCCTAAGCCCTAAACTACCAAGACGCGCGGGCCCGAGCAAGCTTCCGCTGCCGCCGGTGCGGCCTGCCTCGGAGGAGGAGGGCGAGGCTCCAAGCCATGTTCGAAGCCTCCTCCAAGCGCTGCCTGGCGCTTGGCCAGAAAAACAAGGGAAGAATGAGAAAGGTTAAACTTTGCTATTCCTACAATAACCGAGGAAGTTCGGGAAAAAGAAGTGCTAGGCTTTGTTGTTCCTAAAAAACCATCAAGAAATATATGTTAAACTGCTCGATTCTTGGCGAAGCAAAGCTGCCGCTCGTGCCTTCCTCCACTGAAGCCTCATCGACGAGATGTTGCCTGAGTTGTCCAGTACTTTGGGGAACTAAAGGACTAGGGTTGAGGGTTTAGGGTTTAGGTTACTTGTCCAGTACCTAGAGGAACTAAAGGCTCACCTTTTGGGATTCTAAGGGGATTATATTACCAACAAAAAGTTAAAGGTTGCATGCTCTACTTCTAAGCTGCCTGAGCATTGCTTGGAGAGGCCGAAGTCAGCGACGCGAATGGGCGAATCCAGGGAACAGCGGAGGAAAAGAATGTTCTCGAGCTTTAAGTCTCTGTGACAAACACCTCTTGAATGGCAATGGGCAAGAACTCCAGTGACTTCATGTGCAATTCTGCAGATGGCACTGCCTTGCCCTTTCAGCTGCTCTGTCCATTCCACGAGGTTCCCTCCTAGACATGCTTCCGTTACGATGTAGAAGCTGCGGCGATCTTCATATGCCTCCAAAAACCTTAGTTGCTGAGTTCATAAGCCCCCAAAAAAGGTGTACACTTTCAGCTCTATAGGGGGTTAGAGTATCCCAAAGAGTAAAGTGTAAAGAGTACTCACTCACCTACCAAGAAGCCGTAGGATGTTGGGATGGTCTAGGTCAGCCAGGATGTTGATTTCGGACCACAGTTTGCCGACATCTGCGATGGAGCTTCTGGACATCTGCTTGATGGCGACACTTTTCGTGCTGTTGTAGCAGCTCTTCCCACGAAACACCCGACCAAAGGCACCGCGGCCCAGTTCGTCCTCTTCAGACCAGGTGAAGTGATCATGCACCCTCCCCTCCTGCAATCCTCGTTTCAAGCGCCGCCAGTGGATCACATCTGTATCGCGCGCCTCCCGGGAAGTTGCTGATCCTGTATTCCACTGGAGGCGGCCACGACGGCGAACAGCTAGTCTCGAGGTCCAGTTCGGCTGAGCCTCGGGTGAGGCAAGTGGTGATGGAGGCAAGTCCAGGGCAGGAACAAGACGCACTCGGCTTGGGAGGTCTGCGTCGCAAGCATCTGCCCTCTCAATGGAATCGGGTTCTCCCGGAAGCGCTCCAGGTCTGCGCTCTGGCAGAGGATCAGCCATGAGGCTGTAACCCAAACTCCCCGACAGAGACTCTGCTTTCGTGCTCGAGCCTGAGCCGCAAAGCCCTTCTGAACCCAGCCTTGGACAAGCTGGCCAAAGCCTAAACTGTACCCTAAACCCTGAACCCTAAGTTTTCGGGGCTACGGGGTGAGGTAGCTTGGAGCCCCAAATTTTTGAAGCTGCAAGTTTTGGAGCGTGTGGCATCAGTTGTGGGCTTCTCGAAGACAGTATGTCATAACTTCATAACCCTAAATGTCCATGTACCTAAACAGGGAACACTTGGGGCCTTAAAGTACTGTACCTCAAATAGGAACTTTGGGGGGATATATGAAGAGATCAGAATCATAGGAGGGCTTTTTGAGGGGATACAGGCAGACAGCAGATATCCATAAGTCCGACCCAATCTTCTCCGATGCCCTTGGTACAGGCAACTTGCGCAAGAGCAACCCTAAACCCTAAACTCTATAGGGCAAAAGAAGGAATGAAACCAAAAAAAAAAAAAAAAACGAAAACTGAGTGGTTCTTAGCCGGGAATCAGGGTCCCTCCATCCTTTGAAGGGTTCTACGGGGGGGGGGGGGGGGGGATGAAAGGTACCTTATAATATATTTTCCCCAAGTCTGGGTATAGAGATGGGTCCCTTTCTGGATCCTGTATATAGTATGGCAAAAAGCAGGGCACCAAAAACAGGGACCCTAATGTAGATAAAAACTACTCATTTAGGAACTAAAGCCCTACAAGGAGCCCCCCTAGTTGTAAGTCGAGATATCGGGGGCCCTAAATTTGGGCTATAAGGATCCTCACTTGGGCTATACAAGTCCCTTAGCTGCAGCTAGTATAGTCAGGGGGAACCTTAAACCCTAAACCCTAAACCCTGAACCCTAAACCCTAAACCCTATAGCAAAGAGGCCCTCCTTGCAGACCCTTGAAACCCAAAAAGGCCTGGTTGGAGACCCAGCTCGCGCTCCAGGAGGGCAAAGGGAGCCTGAAGCCCACCGGGTTTAGGGTTTAGGGTTTGGGGTTTAGGGTTTGGGGTTTGGGGTTTGGGATTTGGGATTAGGGTTTGGGGTTTGGGGTTTAGGCCACCCTCAGCTCACACGGAAGGTCTGGCGAATTAAGGGGCTTAAGGAGCTCAGGGTGCTTCGGGCCCAGGGCGTTGTAAGGCTTCGGGGGTTGAGGGCTTAGGGAGCGTTTAGGAGTTTAGGGTGCTGAGGGTGTTCAGGGCGTCTAGGGCTTAGATCGCTTTAATAGGTTTGGGGGGCCACACACACACCATGACAATCAGCCAGCAACCCCTGCAGGGTTCGACGTTTGCATGAAAATTGCCCCCAAAGCGTTTTGAAGGTTCTTTGGGGGGTGCGACTGCCCGAGGCGGATGTGAATGTAAGCCTCAATTTAAGACCGACTCTAAACGCAAAACACTAAACCCAAACCAGAAACCCTAAACCTAAACCCGAACCCTAAACCGTTGGGTTCTCAGCGCATTCACATGCCACCGAGCACTGTTTGCCACTGGCTTACGACCTCCTGGAGTTTTCAAAAGGGGTATATTAAAACCCTAGACCCTCAACGTAAACCCAAAGACCACCTGGAGTTTTCAAAAGGGGTATATTGGAACCCTAGACCCTCAACCTAAACCCTAAACCCTAAACTGGCCACTTCCTTGCCCAGAGCTGGGAGTCTGCAGGTGGAGAGGCCAGGAAGAAGATTTAGGTCCGGATCTGTTGATGATGCTGTGTACAAGGAGGAGCCTTTCGTAGAGTTATCAGGGCCCTAAATTGGGTTCTAAGGGCCCTCACTTAGCTATTCGGTCCCTTAACTATAGTTAGTATAGTAAGGGGGCCCCTGCTTTGTAGGGAAAAGCCCCTTTGAAGAAATCTTGCGAGCCAAGCCCCTTGAGACCCTACCACGACGAAGCTTAGGTTTAGGTTTAGGGTCCAGCAAGAGAAAGTGCAGCAGCCAACCCTAAACCCTAAACCCCAGAACCCTAAATCTTAAACCCCCGACTCTAGCTCCAAGCTCTTCGAGCAGCCAGGGTCCCACTGGCCAGGATGACCGAATGGCAGGCATGGGCCTGCAGGCACGTGGCGCCAGACCCCAAAGGGTTTCCCGAACCCCGAGCCCTTTGTTGCAACCCTAAACCATGTAAATCTGACCCTAAACCCTAAACCCTAAACCCTAAACCCTTGTGGTTTTGGGATTTCGGGCTTCGCGTTTAGGGCTTGGGGTGATCTATAGGGTTTAGGGCAGCTAGACTGATTTGATCCTGCCGGTCTAGTCCAATCATGGCAGCTGCATGCCCCCTGCATTATAACTTAGGAGCATAAGTCCCGGAACTACAGTTCGTATAGTGTGGGTGGCACTGTAGTACCACGCCCTGGAGCTTAAGGAGCAACTGAAAAGCAGACCAAAACACCGAAGCTCATCAAGAAACCCTTGTGGCCCGAAACCCTAAACCCTAAACCCTGAACCCTAAACCCTAAACCCCAAACCCTGAACCCTGAACCCTAAACCCTGAACCCTCAAAGCGCCCGAAAGCTTTCGGACAGGCCGCTGCTGCTTGAAAAGCCACAGCTCCACTAAGGCTGACCATCGACAGAGAGGGGCTCCCAGTGGTCGCCTGATGCAGGTTTAGGCGATAGGGTTTAGGGCTTAGGGTTTAGGGCTTAGGGTTTAGGGTTGCAAAAAGGGGTTGGGGTTCATGGGTGCTTAGAAGCCCAATGATAAGTCTACTTACAATCTACTTTGAGGACTTACGGGGGCTTATAAGTACAGTTATAATTTATAATTGGGTTGATGAGTACCCTGAACCTCCAAGGAGAGCTTAGGATCGGGCTTAGGGTTTAGGGCTTTGATCCCTCACAAACAAGCCAGGCAAAGCCGTCGGCATGGCGCCCGACAGTTTCAATGACAGGGTTGAGGGTTTAGGCGTGCTTTTAGGGATTTTAGAGGGGGTTTAGACTGACAGAGATCAGCGTTTGCAAGTTCAAAGAGGTAGGGCTCGAAAAACCAACAAAGTCACTCAGATCAAGCGCTGCTCTCGTCTGACCCCAGACCGTTTTTGGTGAAAACTCTAAGCTCTACACTAATCCCTTTCGCCCTAGACCCTAAACCGTCGGATCGGCTGGTGAATTGGGATGCCGCCCTGTAGTTTCAGTACTGCTGGGGGGTGGTCCCGATGATGTGCTGGTTCAGAGTGCAGTCGCGCTCAGTTGCTCAGACTCAGTGACAGCGCCGAGTAAACCCTTAGACCCTACCGGTCCGCCTTCTTGACGGTGAGGGCATAGCCACCTTTGCTTGCGGACGTCTCATGGCAGGGCCCCAGGAGACTCCAATATTCCTTGCCTGGAGTTCCTTAAACTGTACCGTACTAGAGGTCCTCATATGATGGGAGGGATGCGTATGCCTGAATTAAGGGGTAGTTTGGCACCTTGCGAGAACATCCTTCGAGACGACCCGAGGGACCCGATTCTGAAGAGTGATTAGGTTGCCACATCTTGCTAGACTTTCTGTTGGCGTTAACTCCGAGCATCCCTTGTTGCCTTGGTCGGTTGGGCCAAACGTAATTCTGACTGAAATGGGCGCCCTAAACCATAGACCCTTTTTGCAACTAATAGACTGAACTTCGAAATCCTAAACCCTAACCCTATAAACCGTTTCTGCAACCCATAAACCCTAAACCCTCAACCCTCAACCCTGAACCCAAGGCTTGCCTCTTCCACCTTCCTCCAGAATCAATGCCATCTTGCGCAGGAACAGATCCTTGCAAGTCGGCCAAAGGAGCCAGGGTTCAGGGCCCTACACCTGCCTAAGGTTCCCGAAGTTTCCTTAAGGTGTTTTAGGCAACCTATTAGCCCTCCCTCTTAAGGGGTATAAGGAGGGATTTCTAGAAGGGCTTACATGAAGGTTCACGGGTAAGGGGGTAAGGGTTTAGGGTTTCCGGTTTTGGGTGAGGGTTTGAGCTATGAGTAGGCTCAAGGAACACCCCCGAAAATGTAGTTGCAGTTGTAACAGATAAATTATAGCCCATGAGCCTCCAAATAAGGTTCGAACGAGAACAGTCGAAGCGTACCCCACGCACCGAGGTGATATTCCTATGTCTCTCCTCGCTCACACCAGCTCCAATAAGAAACAGGCCGGACAGCCTGAAGCTCAGAGCGCGGATTGCCAGGGGTTTGGGTCTAGGGTTTAAGGGTTCGGGGGTTTTGGGTTTGAGTGTTAAGGGTTTAGGGTTAGGGTTCAGATCGCCTAAACCCCCAACCCTAACCCCCAAGGGACAGATAGGTGAGGGGGGTGATCTCTCACATCAGAAATCAAGGAAACAGGTACATCCTTCCTTTGCCTAAACGTCTTGAAGGGACCGGGGGGGGGGGGGGGGGGGGGGCGGCCTCCTGACTCCCTGCTTCCGTGCCAATAGTGCGGGTGAAACAAGATTTCGGACGCCAGAGTTAGGAGAAGCTTGTCCTAGGCCAAAGTATGGCCCCCAGAACATGCAGCCGGGCGACCATCTCGTTCACTGCCTCACTGAGCATGGCATGGCCACATGCGCGTGCGAAAGTCTGCACTCCATTCGAAGTTTTGGGATCCCAACCTCAAACACCCCAAACCCTAAGCCCTCAACCCTAAAGTGGCACTCCAGACCCAGAGTTGGCCGCATAAACCCCAGATCAGCACGAGGCCGCAATACATCCAAGCCGCAGAGGAGCGAACCGCCCAACCTCCCAGGGGTCTTGGGACCACACGGTTTAGGGTTTAGGGTTTACATAGGGTTTAGGGTGCCGGGGCACACAAGTAGGGGCCCCGTAGCACTATGTAGAGGTAGAATTAAGGGTTCTAAACTGGGTTGGAAATATCACAACTTAGGTTATAAGTTCCGCAACTGTTCGAAAAATAAAGGGGCCCTTACCTGTACGGCAGTACCCGCGGAGAGACCAATTCCAAGTACTTAAGGAGGGCACCTGTTTCCACAACTTCCGGTACCTCCTACACTATAGGAATCCCATTTAAAAGGAACCCCTAAACCCTAAATTTCAGCACTAAGCCCTAAACCCAAAAGGTAGCTGTAATACTCAAAACCCTTTGCCCTTTTGTGAACCCCGAAGCTGCTTCAGCCCCCTTTTTTGCATCTGGACCTGAAGCCCCCAAACCCTAAACCTCAAACCATGCTACACCCTGCTTGGAGGTTCAGGGCCGCCTTGTAACCCCAACTTATAAGCCGCCCGAGGTCCCCTAAGCAGGTTATACGTAGACTTGGGTTTTGTACGTAAACCCTAAACCCTAAACCCTAACCCTAAACCCTAAACCCTAAACCTTAAACCCTAAACCCTAAGCATCCCTGAACCTCGAACCCGAAGCCCTTAACCCTGAAACCCGATCTTTTTCCAGGATGGGCGTTTAGTAGCCCCTTAAGTTAGGCGCTTTAGAGGGTTGATTCTAAACCCTAAACCCTAAACCCTAAAAACCCTACACCCTATAGACCCTCTAGACCCTATAGACCCTACAGACCCTATAGACCCTATAGACCCTATAGACCCTAAACCCTAAACAGCCCATCCTGGCTTGTGGCCTTCCAGGCCGTGCTCGATGAAGCGTCGCCGAAGGGACCGGAGCATTCGCACCAGTCGCTCCACTTCCGCGGAGCTCTCCAGTCCTCTCTATTGAGGGGCTATTTTGGGGTTTAGGGTTTAGGGTTTAGGGCGACTTAGGGGACTATTTAGGAGCCATTTACGGGTTCTTTAGGGGCTATTTTAGGGGCTATTTAGGGGCTATTTCGAGGTTACTTTAGGGGTTATGTAGGGATTTGGGGACCCGTTGTTTCCTAGGGTTTAGGGTTTACGGTTTCGGGCCCCCCCCCTAGTTACAAGCAGAGTTAAAAATGGTTTAGAAGGATCCCAACTTAGGTTATAAGTCCCTTAGCTATATGTAGTACAGTAGAGGTCCCCTCCTTGTAGAGTTTGGCATGATAGCCCAGGAACCATATTAAAGCCAGGGTGCCCTTTCTGGGGGCGGTTACTTGTTTTTAATAAGGGAACCTAGAACCCAGCAAAAGGCGAAAGGTTACCAGTGGGCTACCCAGTTAGGTTTGTAGGGTTTTCTAGCCGGGGTGGGGGCTGACTGTATAGGTATGACACTTGAGCTGATGATTTTTTTGGGGGGCCTAGTGCTATCGCTAATACTCTATGAGTCTATACGTATTCTTGTTGCACGGTGCGTATGTCCTTAGGGGTCTGAATACCTTAGCCCCAAAAAGGCACACCTTGGATATGTAATAGGGCTATATAGAACCAAAAAGGTAATGGTTAACTACCCTGCCCCTAAGTGTTTGCTGTGTGCTAGGATGAAATCAGGAGCTCGGGATGTTGACGCAACCCCGCATGAAGCGCGAGGCGAGGTCCTGCGACTTGCGTGACCAAGGCCTTGTCGCATGCGTCTTGGGGTTTGGGGTTTCGACGCTCACTCTCGCACGAGGCCGGCGAGGTTCTTGGGTCCATAAGTCGGACTACAGGGCATCAAGCTTCTTAGCTGGCCGGTTGGTTGCTCGTGCTTCTGGAAGGAAAGTATATTCGTGCTTCCAGCCTACGACACCCTGCATCACTGATCATACAAGAGGATATCACTTGAACATCTGCAATGCTTGCCGCCCCCCTAAACCCTCCTAAACGCTAAGCCCCAAATCCCAAACCCTAAACGCAAAGCCTGACAGCCCTTGTTGAACCGGAAACGGCTTCAAGGACGGAGGAACATTGTCATTATCTCAATTACACCCCATGTGCCTCAACAGGTCATGAAAGGCCAAAAGTATGGTCATCAACGCCAAGATACGAGACAGCCTTTGCCACCTTTGCAGTCGCGGGCAGCCCACATGGTTGAGGCTTTGCGAGGTGAAGCTCTACGCCCTAGGCCCTAAGCCCTAAGCCCTAAACCCGAAACCCTGACCCTTAACAGCGCAGGGCAAGATTTGAAAGCCATGGCTGGTTTGTTACCTTGTTTTTTGAAAGGGACCGGTATCCACAGCTTCCCAACTAAAGAAAGAGCCCTGGGTCTTTGTAGGGAACAGGGGAAGTCGGTACTCTGTATCACCCCCTAAAAGGTTATATATATATATATGTACGGGGGATACAGGGTAAGAACCCTAAACCCTACACCCTAAGCCCTAAACCCTGAAGAACATCGCTATCTGGTGCCAGCCTGTACTCATTCGCACAGGTCATTCCGCGCTCGAATGTATGAGGAAGCAGCCCGTGGTTGTAGGGTTTGGGGTTAGGTCTTAGGGTTTAGGGTTTAGGGATTAGGGGTTTAGGGTTTAGGGTTTAGGGTTTAGAGTTTAGGGTTGCAAGCAAGTCACTCACACGTAACAGCACATGTACCGACGACATGAACTTAGATGCCGGCGTGCATGTATATGCATGTGTGCATGTGTATACATTTCAGATAATCACGAACTTGCAAAACCCTGCTCTCAAAGCAGGAAAGCTTCTAACTCATTGTCAGCTAACATAGGGGCCTTAATAAATACAATAGGGTTTTGGGGGGTCATTCTAGTATAGCTATAAAGAGACCCTAAACCCTAAACCCTAAACCCTAAACCCTAAACCCCTGCAGTAGCCTCCATCACGCAGTTCTCCCGAGGGCAGCTCCGTGAGGCGAACCAGTGCCTTCACGACGGGATGAAAGTTGCGCCCAGTGGCAACGTTTACGTTTAGGGTTTAGGGTTTAGGTTTAGGTTTTAGGGTTCAGGGTTTAGGGTTTAGGGTTGGGGGTTTGGGGTTTAGGGTGTCTTTCAGGGTTTAGGATTTAGGGTGAAAGATGAAAGTTTGCGGCCCCTTCGTGATAGAACCTGCCGAAAGTAGAACCGTGGTGTTCAAGAAGGCTCAGCCCCGCTTATAAGACCCAGGGTTTGGACGGCCGATGGTAGGGCAGGGACGCTGGGATCGGTTCAATGAGTGTCGCTTGTCCCAAGTTTCGTCTGTTTAGGGTTTAGGGGTTAAGTAGGGTGCTGAAAGATGGGTTTGTCTTCTATATACAACACACACCTGCAATACCCTAAACCCTAAACCCTAAACCCTAAACCCTAAACCCTAAACCCTAAACCCTAAACCCTACTGCATTGCCGACATTCGGCGTGGAGCTCTCGAACACAAACAATTCTCGGCCAGGGTTTTCAAGCTCGCCCTGCGCAGTCCCTGTGGCAAACATGCGCAAAGTCTCCAGTAGACCCAAGAGTAGCCTAGGAACGAAAAGGTAGCCCTTTCATTTTGGTTTTAAGGAGCTTTTCAGGGAACCTAATCCCTACAGTAACAAAAAAAGGGGAATAAGGCCCTACTCCGGGCCTGGTTCACTTATTCAGAGTTTTGCACCGATTCGTCGGTATTCCGGGGCGTTATGTAGCTGCCACCTGCTTCGCCGGCGTGTCCGATGCCACTTTCAGCCAGTCCTGGGCGATGTGTTGCGCCTAGACACCGAAACCTAGACCCTAAACCCTAAACCCTAAACCATGCAGCATTCCAAGTTCCAAAGACCATCCCCCAATTCAGGCGTAAGCAAGTGCACATTGAATGGTTAAGGGTTTGGGGTTCAGGGTTCTGAGCTTCCGCTTTTAACTTCGACAAACCTGAAATTGACGTTTGCGTACATGAACCAACGGGTCTTCCATGGTTCACGTCGCAACGCAGCCTGCCGCTCACAGCCGATCGTGCCGTCGGAGGCAGGGTTAGAGTGCTTAGGTTATAAAGGCCGGAGGCCTCTTTTTACCCTTATACCTTCATATAGCCCCTAGATACCCTAATGAGAGCAGAAACCCTACCTAAAGAGACCACCAAGCCATATAATGCTTAGGGTTGAGGATGAGAACTTGCAGGGCGTTTAGGGTTTAGGGTTTGGGGTTTGGGGTTTAGGGTTTGCTTCCCAAGTTCGTTACAGAGGATGGCTGGAAGGGGACTGCCAGAGATATATACTGCTTATGTTACGCTGCTTGGGAAAGCTTGTATCATCGTGACGCTTAGCGCGACATCGGACAATGGGGCGGAGGCTGGTCGGACAATGGGGCGGAGGCTGGTCGCTCGGGCAATATCTGAAGGAATCTCACAGCTTGCCTTCCCTGAACTAAGCCAGATTACGGCGGCTCCCGCAGATCTTCCAGTAGGGCGGCTGGGCAGACAAAGTGAAGTCCCCTCAGCTACCCTGCACAAGAATAGGCTAAGCCGCAACCCTTAACCCTAAACCTGATCGGCCTCCAATCCTAAACCCAATGCAAAAACCCAGGCGGGAGAGGAAGATTCCTCCAGAAATGTCGCTAACTCTGCAGGCCCCGAGGCCGTGCAAGCGCTCTTGTGGCAAAAAGGGATCTACACGGTTCTAAGGGGCATATCGGGCAACCAGGAGTAATCCCTTCCCCCTAATATTTTAACCCCCCCCCTACCCCCTAATATTGAATACCCCACGTTATGGTTATATTATAGTAGGGGATTTAATATTAGAGGGTAGGGGGTGTTTAATATTAGGGGAAGGGATTTTTTAAGGCCCAAGAGCTGAGGGCTTCTGAGTGTTTCAAACCAACTTGCGGTGCCCCTCTGCTTGGCGGAGGGCACCCTACTTCCCATCCCCCTGATGGCTCGCGGACGATCATTACAGGTGCGATTTTAAGGCTGCCACCCCGCAAGTGATCCGACTCAAGAGATACCGGCAGGATTCTGCCCCCCCCCCCCCCACGCCTCGTCCTCCTCCCAAAAACGAAGCCCTCCGCTTTACTACACTGTCACTGTAGGCAAAGCCCTAAACCCTAAACCCTGAACTCCCTAAAGTCCCCAGACCTAAACCCTAAGGTCCCTAAACCCTAAACTCTAAACCCTAAACCCTAGACCCTTAACCCTAACCCTAAACCCTATACCCAAAACCCTAAACTCTTAACCACGGGTGGGGACTGCGCCACAACGCATGAGGTCCAAGTGTAAACCTTGTTGGCTTCTTTGCAGGCCCCAGGGTTTACACACATACCTGCTTTCCTACCTACATACAGACATACATACATCTCCATGTCACTTGTAATTAGAAGGATTTAGGGTATAACCGGCGAAACGCGACATTAGAAGACCCCGGATTCTCAAAACATCTTCCCCAGACCATCAGGGATTGGGAGATCGGAATAGACCTTTGGGACCACATGAACCCTAAAATTGGGGCCATGTACCCTATACTACTTTTTAATCCCTGATAAGGTATCTGAACCATAACCCTAAACCCTAAACCCTAAACCCTAAACCCTAAACCCTAAACCCCTTTTAAGGTTCATTTGGTCCTTAAGGTAGAGGTGTCTCACATTCGGAGGCCCTCTTCGACTGCAAGGTTGACCAGGAATGGCAGCACAGGGTAACCTGAAATATCAATCAAATTAATATAGGGTTTAGGGTTTAGGGTTTAGGGTTTAGGGTTTAGGGTTTAGGGTTTAGGGTTTAGGGTTTAGGGAACAGGGTACCCGTAAACCCAAAATCCTGTAATAAACCCAGAAATTCTTGTTATGGATCGACTCGTATTCAAAACTGCTTCTTGGCGCCACCCGAAACCCTACCAGTGATTGCCGGTAACCGAAGAAGAATAAGAAGGGAACCAGGAAGCCAACCCTGCATTCTAAGAATGATTCACCACACCCCAAACCCATACCCCATAGCCTATAAAGGAAACTATAAGGGAGTCTAAGGGAGGATAGTACCATGCCCCTTAATTTCTTTTAAGGGTATGCCCAAGGGGTATGTTGAGGGGCCTTTGCTTCTGAATGGCCCGTCCGCAACTAAGGAGCACGTCCCAAGATCAATCGGGTTTGGGGGGCGTAGAGGGCCAACCTTGAGCATCTACATGGAAAACAGGCCCGACATCCACAGACATCGCTCCATCACACAGAGTTCAGTGTCCTGAACGTCCTAAATACAAAACCTGCTCCAAACCTCCCTACCCCGAAAGAGATACAGAACCCGAGCATGCGGAAGGCGACATCTAGGATGCAACAAGGCCCTTGAAACAATAGACGGAACTGAAGCAAAGCTGAGCAGGTGCGTTTCTGAGCCCTTGGCCCAACGCGCAAGCCGAAAGCCCTGTGACCGAAAGGAAATCACCACCAACCGCCAAAGCTTCACAAAGGGAAGGAACAGAAGAGCGCAGTACAAAACACTGCTTAGCACAACCAACTGTATCCAGACCCGTGCGTTACAGGTGGAACAGTTTTACCATTACATGACTTGGTACCTCGTTGAGCTGCACACTGATTTCTTGGTGGGCAGTCCAAGGCTACCTTCTACAACTGGACATGACGTCACAAAGCCCAAGCTTGTACCTTCGCTTTTGGCGAAGAATCCCTGAAGCCCTCCACAGCCTGCTGGAAGTCTCTCTGGGCAACTTTTGTGAACAGCGGGATGGGCGAACTCTTGGCCCCACCATAAGAACTAGACCGTAACCCTTAAACCCTAAACCCTACATAGTCTTCCTGGTTGGACCTCAGGACGCTAAGAACACCATTCCTACATCGATCCCCGTAACGCCCAAGTTTAGAGTTTAGGGTTTAGGGTTTAGCATCCAAACGTCATAACCTGACTCTATGGTGAGTTGACTAAGGGACGGCCCCCTTTGCTTCGCGGGGTCCCTGTTGCATTGCGGCATTGCGGAGCCTGTGGCTGGGGCCCCCTTAGCATAAGGGGACCACCACCTACAACCCTAAACCCTGAACCCTAAACCCCGCCAGTGATGCGAAGACTTGAACCAAGCAACCTTCCCAAGCCTACATGGTCATGGGTTTACTTCTACCCCTAAACCCTAAACCCTAAAGCCTAAAGCCTAAAGCCTAAAGCCTAAAGCCTAAACCCTAAACCCTAAACCTTTCACATCGAAAGCCAAGCCTTGCTTCTACCGCAAGTCATAGGGAGAGCGCTTCTTCTTGGGCGCAGCGCCTTGCAAGCGCTCTGAGCGGCTCTCCTGCCAGGGTTCGGGTTTCGGGTTTAGGGTTTAGGGTTTAGGGTTTAATTAGGGTTTAGGGTTTAGTGTTTAGGGTTTAGGGTTCAGGGGTTGCGGGGGATATAGGCCTTGAAGGGTTGATGGGGTGAGGGCTTGTAGGGTTTGGAGGGTTTGTAGGCTTTATAGGGTTTATAGGTCTGAAAGGGTTTAGGGTTTCTGCTAACTTGGGGACTCTCTTGGTGTGGACAGTTTGGACCTTACGGGTTAGGGTTTAGGATTTAGGGCGCATAAGTTCAGGGATTCTCCGGCGAGTCTGAGTTCGTACCGGTGTTGGTCAAGTCTGGTGGACAGTGACTGTGAGAGAAGCATAGCGAAGGGTTGCCAAGACCGCATAACCAAAATAGGGGTACCTCTTCATATCCCAAAACAAACGATAATTTATAAGATTCCTTTTACAGGAACCCCCCATGTTGGGAAACCCAAAGATGTGTGAAGCCAGTTTGAAACTAACAAGTGCATCCTGGCGCTGGAGTCTGTCAAGTACATGTACGAGCCACCCCTACCCAGAGGCATATACCGATACCCCCCCCCCCCTCCATTAGGTTGGGTACCCATCATCTCACTCTATATGAAGTAGGGTATATATTTCTTGTACCCCCCCCCCCAAAAAAAAAAAAAGGACACCCGGTATATACACTCACCAATAGCAGTAACAAAAAACATCCTGTTTCGTATCAAGGGCAGCCCGAAGGGTCGGGAAGTAGAAGCCACAAAGCCCGAAACCCTAAACCCTAAACCCCAACCCTATGCAACCTAAACCCTAAACCCTCAACCCTAAACCCTCAACCCACAAAACACGCCCTTCTTGAGCCGGCCTTTGTCAAGGTCAGGTTCGGCAGCTTAACTGCCTAGAAAGGCAAGGTTGAGGGCTCAAGGTTTGTGGTGTGTCTGCAGGTGGGTCTAGGTTTAGGGTTTAGGGTTTAGGGTTTAGGGTTTAGTTAGGATTTTGGTGGTTTGGGGGAGGGCGGGGGGGAGGTACCCTGAAAGAGCAAATGGGTGGACGGAGGGTGTCGAGAAACTGCAGTGCGAGGGTTTAAGTAAGCCCGTCCGGGCTCAACGCTTAGGACCTTGCACGTAAAGGGTTTGGGGTTTGGGGTTTAGGGTTAAACTACGCTCACTCATTTTCACTCTTCTTGGGCTGGACGTCTCCAAGTCGCTTTGGCCTCGACCTTGTCGTCCTCCTCAGGAACCTGTTGCTCCACATGTCTGCTGCGAAGGTGCAGGTCAGCATGCAGACTGGTGGCCAGACCCTAAACCCTCGAACCCCAGAAGCCTCCTCAAACCTTAGCCCTAAACCCTAACCCCTAGACCTAAACCCTAAACCCCTAAACCCCTAAACCCCTAAACCCCTAAACCCTAAACCCTAAACCCTAAACCCTAAACCCTAAACCCTAAACCCTACACCCTAAACCCTAAATCCAAGACACAGAGACCTGG